GACAGAAGAAAAGTAATATCTTATCTACACCCCCTGGGGTTTATAACTTGTGTACCTCATTTTAGGATGATAGGGATCCACCAGTCAATGGATCTATACATGGTAGTTAATTGGATATATTATTGAAAAAAAAAAAAAGATGGCTGAGAGGCATCTTATTATGTTTTATATTTAGGCTCTCTGTCTTGATATACTGAATATTTTCCACGTGGCAAACTATGAGGGCTCCAGATCCCCAATCAAGAATACAAGTAGTCTAAGAACATTTGGCATCGTAATGAATCAAAGACTCAAAAGTTCGAAGTTGCATGCAAAGTGGCGGTAGCGTGTAACAAAGTAAAATACATGGACGTTCCAGCTAAGATCTTCTCCAATGGACGGTCTGAATTCACTGAACCATTGTTCCACGTGGCTAAAGACGTTCTAGAAGAACTCCATGCCCACCTTTAAGAGAATCATGTACATACCGTGGTCAAAATTGACAGACAGGAGGAACAGTAAGTGAGATTTTATATGCCATTGAAGAATTTGAATAGCTCAAGGCTTAAAAGCGTGCAAGTGCAACTTCGGTCCACAACTGGTATCCAAGGGGAACTCACAATCTGGCAATCTCAGACCTGGGACTCAGACCAAATGCTTGACTCCTTTTTTTATCTTCCAAAGTCAAAACGCTCGGACGAGGTGTCCAAAGTCCAAACTCTTCAAGGGTAATTCCGTAAACATAAATATCTCTCCCTCCTTTCTTTCTTTTTACTGTTGCTATTTTTTGTGTGTAAATTATGAAAACCTCCCTTGGATTGTCAGACAATCTTAAATAACTTCCCTGTATTTCGACCTTTAAAGAAAATCTAGAAAATGCTGATATATAATGTATTAATTGCATTAAAATACCATATTTACTAATAAAATATCGCTCAACAATAAATTCCATCTATATTTACCTAAAGCCTTTTTTCTACTAAAGCAAAGCAGCTGTTTTCGCCTTGGGTGAGGTAAATGATAATCCACCGTGAAACTTCATCAACGTAGAGAAGGCAATCAGTCAATAATGAAAAACAATGTTTTCAACCCGCTGTTGATCCGGCCGGTTGAATTGTTTCAATCATCATCCGGTTATAATTTTGGATTCGGTTTAGTCAAGATTTATCAGGTGGTCAAAAATTGTTGGTTTGATAAAAAATCATTTGATTGAGCCGATTTGACCATTGATCCATTCAACTCGATGATCAGGTTTGACCCGGTGACTGTTGACCGCTATTTTTTTGTGAAAAATCTCTTTTAGTTTTAAATTGCAATTTTTAATATTTTTTTAAAATAAAATAATTAAAAATTGAATTAAAAAAGATAAACTGTATACATTATTTATTGCTAAAATATATATTTGTACACACATATATTATGCTGATGTGATACGGTCTAAACCATTCAACCCGATCAGTCAAACCGGTGTAACATGTGACCTAGAGACAAAAACAGTTCGACCTCCAGATTGGTTTCTAAAACATTGCTAAAAGAAACTTGTCAAATGGATCGATTGGATATCAACACCAATTTGGTGTTCGGTTACACTCTCCGCCTCTCCCCAAGTTTATCCGATATGCGATACGCCACACGGAGACTGGGAATATCTCTCTTCCTCTCTTTATTACAGGCTTTCGTTTAGGGGAGAGGGGTTGTTGAGGACAAGAGAAGCAATGAAATTCCTGATAGACGTCAGATTACTAGAAAAATATTCTCTACAATACTCTCTCTCTCTCCAAACACTATCCCACCGACAGCTTTTTCTCCCCTGCAATTGTATGGAGTAAGGAGAATTAGAGTGTATGGATGACTTGCTGCCATTGATTAGGCAAACCCTAAAGGAATGGTATCTCTTATCATCCATGAGTCTAACTGGCAACGTTCATCGCCTTCCTCATATTGGAAATCAAGGAAGTCCCTTCCTTGACGGTTTCACCTCCTCTATTCTCGTGGCCCATTTCAGTAAGGACAAAATTGAATGAACATCTTCAATTTTTGCCCTCTTTTGGCTCCAATGGAGATTGCGTCTTTTGTCAGTAGATATAGTAACCTCACCCATCTTTCACACAAGCTCTATTATTATTACAAAGCCATCGTTTTTTCATTTTTGAGTTATGCATCAATGTGGAAAATTAGGAGGATTTTTCTCCTTTGTTTTTTTTTATGACACTCTGGATCTAGTGGTTAGAATGACAATCCATTTTACTGGATGGAGTAGTTGGTGGCTGATGGGCTCAACTGTCTTGATTTACTACGGATACAGCCAGGTTTACCCATTCCATTTTTTTGTCATTGTTTCTGTGTGGAATTCCATCTAGTCACAGTATTCTCTTTCCATAGGGGTTGATCGTCGGGGAGAGAAATAAGAGGGTTTTATCCATCACGGTAGAGGTGTAAATCGGGCTGGTGGGCGGACCATGCTTGCTTCCTTTGAGATACTTCAGAGGTCAGGCCCAGAATGGCCCATAGCACAAGCCTAGGAGGATTTGAGCCGGGCTGGTCTGGGCCAAAGGTCATGAAAGGTATATTTAAAAAAATGAAAAATTTAAAATAAATTAATAAAATATACAAAAAAATATTATAATTTATATAATGAAATTAAAAAAATTACAATACAATTGGAATATATAATTTATATCGGCCATATCATGCTATGCCATGAGCCTGTGCCAACATGGTCCAAGTGCTACAGTGACAGGCCATGCCGGGCTGTGGGCAGCAAGGCCCGATTTACTGCTCTAATGGACAGGTAAAGGTGGAAATGGGGAAGTTTTTGTTAGGATCAAAACCCATGGTAAGTTTATATAGTTTTACCTTTTTTTTTTTTATCTTTTATAGAAATAGCCAACTAGCTGATAGAACTAAACTGACTGACCCAGTTAAATGGTTATAGTTTTGTAATTTTGTCCTAAATAATGATAATTTGGTCTGGACTTGTTCTTGCTGTTCCGAATTGATTTGACCTAAATCAAATATTAGTTGATAATCTTGCAACTTTTGTTATATTTTATGTGATAAATTTCATAAACTCTATATGAGATCTTTTTTTGTTAAAATACTTGTTTTATCAACACCAATTGCATTGAGTCGTTGTTTCCCCTTACTATGCACGGTATTTTACAACTGTTTTAACTCAAAAGAAGGGTTACCAAAAACCTAGGATTTGCACTACACCCCAAACCGAGCCTGAAGTTATATATTATGAAAAACAAAGTTTTAATTGTTATTATTATCAAGTATAATTGAGTCTAATAAGTTCAGATTCAATTGTCCCAATTAATAAATGGGACGGTTCAAAATTAGTACAGCCTGTCGCCCCGAACCAGACCCACCCCATTGACAGCTCTTGCTGAAGGAATGGTTTCGATCTAACACGATAGATTACAACTTAGAGATATTATTTGCTACATAATTAACACGACATATCTCTTCTTTAGATAATCCAAAAGCTGAGCCTGAATGGCTTTTGGTCACCATATATGACACGAAATAGGAGCTGTTAAAGAGTTGTACAGGCATCTCAGCCATTGGGAGGGAATATCTATTTTCGTCCTGCTTAAGAGTTAAAACCTGAAGGAGGGAAAGTAGGAGTGGATGGGTGGAGTTTTATTTTTGATTCAAATACTTTGCTTGATTATTACATCCCAATAACCCATAGAACGGGTCCTCGCTCTTGACTACCAGACATTGGAACAAGGCCCATCTTGTTGATTTCGTTTCATTTATGTGCAACTTCCTGGGCCTGGGCTCAAGCTAAAATGTGGGTATAGTAGTTTACGGCCCATCTATTCGCCACATGCAACAGCATCATGTTCAAAGGATTTGCTGGAGCCTGGAGGCTGGACTTGATCGGCTGGTTGAACGGTTTAAACCAAATTGACCCTATTCGCTTCAATAAACCAATCACTTTCAAAATGATTCAAACCTCCAAATCAGACACGAACGGCGTCAAAGGCAAGAAAGACCCGGACCCAACTCCCAAACATAAATGTGCCCTAGGGTTTAGAAATTGGAGAGACTATTTTCTTCGCATTCAAAGAATCTTCTTAGAAATACGGCAAAAATAGTAATAATAATAAAAAAAAGAATAATCTGATAAACATTTTCCGTGTATATGTTTTTTTTTTTTTTATTGTAAAGGAAATATTTGATGTAAAATTAAAAATTCAATGGCCTAAGTTTATTGGACTTGGTTGATATTTTTTGCCGTGTAGAGATCGCCATAAATAGTAGCCTGAGATGTATTGGGTCCTGATCATCATCTTGATTCTGGTAGTGCCAGTGCTCAATGGGTTAGATTGCAAAGTGACCCCGGAACCATCATGAGCCCCGATGGGCCCACCATTGGTGTAACCAGCCGACCGACGATCTTGAAGATCCAAGGGTTACCGTGTCAGCTTCAGCATGGTCCATGGGACACGTTGTTATTTCTTTGAAAACACATAAACTAGTCAAACGTCTCCTCCTATCCTACTGCCTGCACACTAATACATCGGTCCTAAACGGATTCCAATTTCAAAGAAAGTACTTCCTTAGGTAAGGGCAATTTAATAAGCAAAGAATGTCCACAATCCATTGGTACACGTGACCTGGCGGGGTAGGGTACCGCATCTCATTCATCATCCATCAAACCCCCATATTATTCTGATCAAACGATTCAAAAAGTACGGTGATTGGACTATGATATCCGACTCGTACTTGGACTCGTGTGACTAGATTAGAAATCAGAATCAAGATGGGAATTTGGTTGCTTAAAAATACCTTTACACAGGAAATCAATCAATTAATCAAAAATGCCCTAACCCTAAAAGCTGATACGGGAGGTAATAGGTATGTATGAAGTATGAACCAGAACCACCTCTTCTCTTCAAGTATTTTCGGGTTAAAATTTAAACCGGTTGGAACTGCACTGCTAATAGCCGGTGAACAGCTCCCACAGAGAACGAGAGGGTGACCGGTAATCGGACGTGAAATTGCCCCCTTCCCTTCCACACCCCCATTGAGAGAAACAAAAGTGTTTCTTCCCCGACTCCCGTCTCCTGTTCCCCTCTTTTCTTATATACAATATCGCATGTAAACTGTTTTGTTTTCTTGGTTTCTCTATTCTTCTTCGCTCTCGTTCTCATATTATTTTTTGCTTATTCGTTTCTGTAATGCAATACCAAGCCTGTTCTTAAGCCTTTTTAATTATCTGATTCCCTCGCAAGGTTCCTTCAAAGAGTTTTCGCCTTCTTTTCTCCTTTGTTCATTTGGGTCTTCAGAGCTTCATTCCCAAGAGATTTGTTTCTTCAAACTAAAGACGATCCCCGTTCTTGTCCGTAATGTTTGTTTCTCTTTATATTCTATATTGCTGGGGTTTTCTCCGTTCTCATGAAGTAATCTGTTTTTTTATTTATTTATTTTTTTCAGGTGATCTATAGCGGATGTTCTAATTGAATTCTCTCGGGTTAGATCTGCTCAGTCGGTCAAGTTTCACGGTGAAGTTCGAAGCGATTGTTTTGAGGATTCTCTCAACGAAGGACGTGCGGTTTCTCGGATTTTGATTTAATCCGGGTTCCGTTTTTAACACGAAGCATGATTTGCTAAACAGGATTTTTTTCCAGAGATGAAGAGGTCTAGAGAAGACGTTTACATAGGTTCTCAAGTTAAACGACCCCTCGTTTCTTCTCGAGGGGAAGCGTAAGTCTCTTATCTTATCTTCAATTTCTTGATTTCTGTATTTAAGCACTTCCGTTTAGCTTCCATTCTCTTTAACTGTGGTTATGGCTTGCTGCTGTTCTATATTTTTAAGTTTCGAATTTTGAATAATGAGATTGAACTTTTTCATTATGCGCTGGTTGCTTTGCTGTTAATATTTCATGTTTCTGTTAATCATGTTTCCATTTAAAATTGTTTGAACCTGTAAAGCTTTGCTCTTTTAGATTACTTCTTCTCTATTTTGTTTTTGTTATTTAATTTCGAGAGGAAACTGTAGGGAATTCTTTAAACACTTGCAGATCAGCTTCTCCTGTTAACTTGTTTCAGAGGTTCACCTCCGCTGTGAGCTTTTCTTCTTATCAGAGTTAAACCCAAAATAAAAAAAGAAAAAGAAAATCAAATTTTCTATGAAAATATGACCTGATCTCTTCCTTTACTTCCTTTTTCTATTGGATAAGTTATTCTTAAAGAGAGTTTGTAAATGGTCAAACATTTTTTCATGAATTATGATCTGTTGGAAATTTTACTGAAATTGGAATTCTTTTTTTTGTTTTTTTTTTTCTGTCAATAAAGCTCTGGGCAACCCCAAGTCTCTAGAGGCGGAGTGGGAGGAGGAGGAGGAGGAGGAGAAGGTGCGCAGAAACTAACAACCAATGATGCCCTAGCGTATCTTAAGGCAGTCAAGGACATTTTTCAGGATAAAAGGGAGAAATATGACGAGTTTCTGGAGGTCATGAAAGATTTCAAGGCCCAGAGGTTTGGTCATCATTTCTTTCATATTCTAAGTTTTCCTAGCAATTTGTCCAGATATAATAGGAGCACCTTACTGACTTTTTCCCCTCTCATGTTTTTGTGTTGCTTGCAGAATTGACACTACCGGAGTCATATCAAGGGTGAAAGAATTATTCAAAGGACACAGAGACCTAATACTGGGCTTCAATACCTTCTTGCCGAAGGGGTATGAGATCACCCTCCCACTTGAGGATGAAGTTCCACCAAAGAAGCCTGTTGAGTTTGAAGAAGCTATAAATTTTGTAAACAAAATAAAGGTGAGACTTCTTAAATTGATGATTTTTCAGTTTTTATTTTTGCTTGCTAGGGTGTACATTTAATCGATTCTGTACCTGCAGACACGATTCCAAAATGATGATCATGTGTATAAATCATTCTTAGACATTCTGAACATGTATAGGAAGGAGAATAAGTCCATCACAGAGGTCTATCAGGAGGTATAGTTGCAGTATATTTCATTGTCTTTCCCTTTGGTAATGTTAATGAGTTTGTCTGTTTTTCCTGTCTTCTGTTTTCAGGGAGACTTCCTTCATGGAAACACTTACATTGTTCTCAAATTCTGGGTTCCTTTTCCTTTCAGGTGGCTACTCTTTTCCATGAACATCCTGACTTGCTCAGTGAATTCACCCATTTTCTACCTGATTCCTCAGCAACAGTTCCGACACAGCATGCTCCATCAGGCAGAAATTCTTTTCTCCGTCGTGATGAACGGTGCACTGCCATGCCGGCGTTCCGGCAAATTCATGTTGATAAGGCATCCCTCCTTTTGTCTTTTTTTTTTTTTTTTACTTTTCTTTTTCTTTTTTCTTTCCTTTTTGAATGGGGTTTCTTACAATCATGTGCCAACTGCCAACCTAACATCCTGTTTACCCTGCCCCATTGTCAGAAGGAAAGGACCCATGCTGATCGTGATCTCAGTGTTGACCGCCCTGACATAGAGCATGATAGAGCACTCCTGAAAGGTGATAAGGAGCAGAGAAAACGCATTGAAAAGGAAAAAGAAAGGAAGGAAGAGAGGGACAGAAGAGACCGTGATCGGGATGACAAGGATATCGAGCACGATAGCAGTCGTGACTTCAACAACATGACACGTCTTCCCCACAAACGGAAATCTTCTCGGAGGGGTGAAGATTCCATTGCTGAGCAGATGCACCAAGGTGGGGAAGGTGCTGAAAACTTTGGAATGCACCCCATTTCATCTACTTTTGATGATAAAATCGCCTTGAAAAGTGAGTGCTTAATTATAGTATTCATTAACACACAAATACATTTCTATATAAGACCTCTGGATGTGTTTTGACTTGTTAGGCTAGACCAAGTAAGCATTCCTTTAAGTTACATATTTGAGTCATTTGTTTAGACCAGGATTAACTTTACTCGTAAGCCTAGAATTTAGTATGACTTGAGGATATTTTCACTGTCATGAAATCTTTGGAAATTGTGAGATGGACTTTTTTCAGGATACAAATGATGCAAGTTTTTAGATTAACTGTTCTTTTATGTTTCAAGAACCCAGGAAAGGTTAATACAGGCTAATTGGATTTCTTGAGTTATTGGTAGTATTTACCTAGAGACATGCATCAGGAGATTCATGAGATGACCAGCCAGGCAGCCATGGAGCCATGAAAAGATTTTCAAAAGAAACAGCATACCAGAAAGTTTCATTTACTAATAATTATTAAACTGGGAAAATAATACTAAAAATGGTTTGTAAAATTAAATCTACCAACATACTCATGCAACTTTTTAGTGCATTGAGCCCAATTGACCAATCCAAGCTCAACTCAAGCTTGGATCCAACCCGAGTATGTCAATTTTTAGTTCAAGGTAGGGTTGGGTTAGAAAGTTTGTGCTTGACCACATGCCCGATTTGGGATTGTAAAGAGTTTAGGCCTATTTTTTTAGGTGGAGAGGAGTTTGCTAGAAGGGCTTTCGAAGCTTTTGAAAGAAGTAAGATAGAAAAGAGTCTCAAGAGGGCTGTTATCGGTGAAGGTGGAGAAGCATGGTATGAGGATGGGGACAGACAAGACAAAGCATTCGAAGCTGAAGATTAAGTTGTGGCTTGGGGGGGGGGGGCTTCTTTCTGTTGTATTTTGAGTTGTAAGGTTGAATTGTTCTGCTGACCATTGGGTCAGGTGTTATCTTAACACCTGTCCTGCTGTTTGTAGTCTGCTCTTTTTATTTAATAAAGTTTTCTTTTACCACCAAAAAATACATAAATACAACTAAACTATTCTAGGTTCAGTCTCACAGATAATGCTGGGTTTACTTGCCCACATTGAATATACATTGCAACTGCATGGCTAGATGCTTTTCATAATTTGTATGTTTTATTCTGTCATTGCATGATACTACAGTTGCCCTTTTGTTGAGAAGAGCACTTAATTTTGCATGTTAGGATTAACAAGAGAAGATATGTTTTGTTGGAAATCTCTCTCCCCCTTCTGAGCTTGTCACTCGAAAGTGGTCAGGATTATCTGACCATATATTTATGGTTTTATGCACGCACCTGTCTGGAAGTTCAAACTTTGGTTTTATGTATGCTATTTTATGCACAACTCCCCAATATGCACTTATCCACACTGCTGGTGAGTGCAAAACTTTAATGCTGAACCACTTACCTTTGTGAATAGTAAGATTGACTAATAACCAGTATCAGTATCTTTCCTTCATTTATAAAGTTTATTTTTTATTTACTTAAAAAAAAACCAGTATCAGTATCCTTATATGCTGCAGAACAGCTAGATTGTCTTGGTATGATATCAAAGTCAAAGGTGTTCAAAAAGGTTTTCCCCTTTTCCAACATCTGTTGTCTTTCCAACTTACTAGAGAATAGGTAACTTGTCTGTCCAAATCTGTTCCTTAGTTCTAATTTCATGTGGAACCATTTAGGATGTATCAGAAATAATGCTGTAATTAGACCTGGAAGAAATTGATTGATGGGACAGTAAGCATATTATTGATGTATTATATCACATACTAAATAAAAGGATAGAAATACTGGTTTTTATGCCAAAATCATGTTAGGTGCCTTCCTTTTTCTAGCTAAATATCTGGCATGTTTAAGATGGTAACAACATAGCATAGATGTTAAGGCAAAGCTACCAAGCAGTTGGGTATTAAGTATTGTTTTGCAATCATTAGCTAAGCTTTTGTTGCATCTTTTCAAATGCTATTAATTATGATTTCCTTTTTTTTCTTTTCATTTGCAAGGTTGATTTTCCAAGTTAAATAGCCAAGTTGTTTTCTCAGAGTTATGTTACTGCTTTGAGAATTGATGTAGTTGACTTTGTATTCTTTTATGCATTTAAAGAAACTTCTTGCATCAATGACATGGCAGGTGCATACAGCCAGGAACTTACTTTCTGTGAGAAAGTCAAGGAGAAGTTGCGCAATTCTGATGATTATCAAGAATTCTTGAAATGCCTTCATATTTATAGCACTGAAATAATTACAAGATCTGAACTTCAAAGTCTGGTATGCCACATTTCCCTTACTTCTTATTATTGTAAGAACAGCCAAGCATTTTTAACTAAATCTGGTAATCAATGCTTCTTTGGACTCTTATTCTATTTAGATATTCAACACAAGACTTTTTCCATATTTTATTGTTCATAGAATTTGTTTTCTTTCTTTCATATTTTTTTTTTGAGAGAGAGGGAGCAACGGAGATATCACAGTATAAACATGAACAATTTTTACTATCAAATGTCCAGTTTTGAAGTTATAAATGATCAAAAACATGGATCAAATATTAACATGCATGAGAATCATCTGTCATAGCAATGTAAGTAATGCACTGTGACCCAAATAGTTCTTATAAAAGCTAGCATAAAGACAGTGTTATCATTGGTTAGGATACAATTTGTGGTGAACCTGTCCAGCCGGTGACACAAAGTTTATACTCACCTTTAGTATATTACATATACAAGGAAATACACATCACTATCATTACACAATAAACTTATGCAACATATTTAGTTATAATTATTTTTGGGTTTTAAACATAAGCACTGATAAAAATTCAATGGCTTTCCTTTGTTCTAAGCCACCCCCTCCTTTGAAGTTTGGATCAGCCCAGGCCTGAAGTTGTAAACCTTAGTTTTGATGGGTTCTGTCAGCCTGTATTGAGCTGAGCTGTAGCCAGGCCTAGCTCATATGTGGTGCATAGATTTGGCTGAGCTTGGGCTGGACAGCCCTAAGAATGCTTGCTTAATAAACATGAATACATCATGCAGTGCCCTTGTATCCCTGAGGTATTGCTTATGATTGCAGCTTCAAAGTTCCACCAAGATTGTAATATCAATATTTCAGTAACAAATCCAGTTTGTTATATTATGCTATTTGTCATTGGTCTTGGTTCAGAATTTTCACTCCTTGCAGATTGGTGATTTGCTTGGAAAATATCCAGACCTTATGGATGGGTTTAATGAATTTTTGACTTGTTGTGAGAAGAGAGGAGGTAAGTCTTGATCACTATAATAGTCTGCTTTGGATTTATTTTTTGTTTACATCTATGTTGTTTCTAATTGTGATATTTTCAGCAGATGGATTTCTTGCTGGTGTTATGAGTAAAAGTATGTTATATACCTTCTCATTTCCAATTTTCCATTACCTCTTGAATATGGTTTTCATGCTTTTCATATAAAAAGTTTTTATTAAAAAAAGGCATTATTCATTGATTAGTATAATGAAGATGGATTCAATCCCAAGCAAATGTCTCACAATATTTTAGGTAGTTATGTACACTTTATAATGTCTTATAAAGCTTTTACTCGTTGCAGAATCATTATGGAATGAAGGGAATTTACCTAGACCGGTGAAGGTAGAGGACAGGGACAAAGATAGGGACCGGGAGAAGGATGATAAGGAGAAAGATAGAGATCGTGAAAGGGAGAGGGATAAAGAAAGGGAAAGACTTGACAAAAGTGTATCTGGCCATAAGGTTCCTTCATTTTCGAACAAGGAAAAGTTCATGGCTAAACCCATTTCAGAACTTGATCTTTCTAATTGTCAGCGATGTACTCCCAGTTATAGGCTTTTACCAAAAAATGTAAGCAATTCTTGTACCATTCTCTTGGTTTTTGTTTTTCCATTTTGATCTTCTTTTATGGAATTAGTGTTTAGGTTATGATGACATGCTTTGATGCTTGTCACACTGCAGTATCCTATACCTTTAGCAAGTCAGAGAACAGAACTCGGTGCTCAAGTGTTGAATGATCATTGGGTATCAGTGACTTCAGGAAGTGAAGACTATTCTTTTAAACACATGCGTAAGAACCAGTATGAAGAAAGCCTTTTTAGATGTGAAGATGATAGGTATAAAGATAACCCCCAAATTTTGAGCAATAATTTTTTTTGCATCATATCATCCTGATTTAACTGCATGTGACATGAAGCTGAAATGTATTCCTCTCCTTTTTCTGCTCTTTTTTTTATAAATCAGTTTGCCACTTTCTACTTATGTGATTAGGAAAAGAAAATAGGTAAATGAGTTATGTATGTTACTAGACAAGAACAACTTGTTATCTGATGGTTCTACACTTTGTGCTGCACATGTTAAGGCATAATTGTGAAATTTGATCTCTAATGGAAAATTTGAGCTGTGATTTTGTTTTTTTGCATTGGTTTTGATACGTGCCTTGGGAGAACTCGCCCCTAAAAGCTAGCTGTTAGAGGGAGGGAACCCAAGCACATATATATCACACAACAGTATCCCATACTACCGATGTGGGATATCTCACATTAACATCCCATACTATGTTGGATAAGTGGGATCGTAACATTCCACCATGCTCCGCAGTCCTGACACCCACGCAGGCTGGCTTTGCACTAGTCCACCTAGTCTCTGCTGAACACTGCAATACCGACGTCACTACCTGTGCCGCACGATTGCAACCAGGGGGCTTAGTGTAGGCTCTGATACCATTTGTTACGTGCCTTGGGAGAACTCGCCCCTAAAAGCCTAGCTGTTAGAGGGAGGGAACCCAAGTACATATATACCACACACCAGTATCCCATACTACCGATGTGGGATATCTCACATTAGCATCCCATTACTACAACTTGGGACCAAGGGATCGTAACACTGATGCTATTCTTATTTCATAATATCAGGTTTGAATTGGACATGTTGTTGGAGTCAGTAAATGCAACCACTAAGCGCGTAGAGGAGTTGTTAGACAAGATCAATGACAACACAATTAGACAAGATACCCCAATTCGTATTGAAGATTACTTTACAGGTTTGTATTTGCAATTAAGGATATGGAGTCTTGGCATCTCATTTATGTAATGATATTCAAGCTAACTTTACCTCCATTTTTCCTGCCTACCTTTTCTTGCTCTTCTTTCTTGTAGCTTTAAATCTAAGGTGCATAGAACGTCTATATGGTGACCATGGGTTGGATGTGATGGATGTATTACGGAAGAATGCTCCCCTTGCATTGCCTGTCATATTAACTCGTTTGAAGCAGAAACAGGAGGAGTGGACAAGGTGTCGTGCAGATTTTAATAAAGTGTGGGCTGAAATCTATGCTAAGAACTATCATAAATCACTCGATCACCGAAGTTTCTATTTCAAGCAACAGGATACAAAGAGTTTGAGCACCAAAGGTAAGCCAAATCTTCATATGTTGTATTTAAAAGATTTGGCATTTTAAGTTTGTTTATCTTGACCCCTAGTCTTACTGTGATAAAGTTGGCACTGCTTTTTCTTTTATGATACTTGTCCTTCTATATTATAATTTATGTAAGAGGTGCCTTGTCTATGGAAAAGTAATTCTGTATGTTGGAGTGTGATATTGAAGATTGAATTGTATTGGCACTCTCATGTTTTACAGAGTATTGAGTGTGATGTTTTATATTCTAGTAACTTGTCGCCATAGATAAATTAGTTTTTTAATTTTTCTAGGAGTGAAGTAGTTCGATTGCACCTGTGTCAGCATACTGTTGTTCACATATTCCAATTTGCTTATCAGTTTCTTTTTTTTTTCCTTCTTGTTGTATCTGTTTCTTTGTTTCTTATTTTCTATGCTTTTAAATGCACAGCCTTGTTAGCTGAGATTAAAGAAATCAATGAGAAGAAGCGTAAAGAGGATGATGTTCTTCTTACTATTGCTGCTGGAAACAGAAGGCCTATAATTCCAAATCTGGAATTTGTGTACTCTGATCCTGATATCCATGAAGGTTTATATCACCTAATCAAATATTCATGTGGTGAGGTTTGTACGACCACAGAACAGTTGGATAAAGTTATGAGGATTTGGACAACCTTTTTGGAACCCATCTTGGGTGTCCCTTCTCGACCACATGGTGCAGAAGATACTGAAGATGTTGTAAAAGCTAAGAATAATACTGGAAGAAGTAATGTAGCAAGCATAGGAGAAAGTGATGGAAGTCCTCGTGCTGACGTCGCTGTCACCAATTCAAAGCAGTTGAACCCTGGCAGTAATGGAGATGATAGTGCTGCCCCTGAACAGACAAGTTCTTGCAGGGCAAGGCTGGCAAATGGTGATATTGCAGCCAAAGAAGATGGTTTTGATGAAACAGATCGTATTGCCCGTAGGAATGATACTCAGCAAGGAAAAGTGCAGAACAATTCCTCTATGGCAGATGAAATGTCTGGAGTAAACATACAAGGCACCTCTAGTGAACGGTTGACTGATTCTAATGCATCACTTGCCATTAGAGCAGAACAGAGTCTTAGTAGAACTAATGTGGAAATTACATCAGGTTTGTATTACGGGGTTCAAAGTAAAGCTGCTGTTAATTTTAATAAGTATTACTTGCCCAAGATGTTTGCACATTGTTAGTTATTAGTTATCTATATATGATTTTATTTCTTTTTTTTGTGGTTTTTTAAAATCATTGCTGTGTACTGAGATACATTTCCATTGAAGGGCTTGGCACCACTCCTTCCAGACCTAGTCACACGGCAAATGAGGGTGTACATGAGCCCAAGCTTAGTAATGAAGTTCACCCGTCAGCAGAGGTAAGTGCATTTGCAGTTAGGGGGACTTTATAATTTTCTTTTCACAGCTAAAGGAGAGAAGTTGGTTAAACATACTCTCTCTGTTTATCTTTCTTTTCTTTTCTTTTTTTCTTCACCCATTCACATGCAACATTGTAGAAAAAACTGAAAAAGAAAGTATAAAAAGGCCTTTAGTAAATGATGGCCCCCAGACTGGATATGGTCCTAACCTCTGGTATATTTTTTTGCACAAAGTGGCTTCTCTGAGACTCAACCATATTCTCACACTAATAAAATGGTGTGTTAGGAAAGAAGCTAATACTCTAGGCTAAGATGGATCCAGGGAGCTTAACAAGTTGGCTGGTGACTAAGGTGGGTGTGCATAGTGAAAATCTGTATGGTGATAGTGCTCTGCCTGTATAAAGATTCTTGGGAGGGGTCTTTCTTTGGTTGTTGATTTGCATGTCCCCTCATGTACAAACTACCCGTTCTTTATTAATGTATTGCAGTTATCTTTCTCAAAAAAAAAGTAATAATTTTCTTGGTTATGATTTATGCTATTTTGTTGAACTTCTGTATCAATTCATCTCAGTAGTCCAAGATATTACATATTTAGGGAACTCCCATTTACTTCTCATAATGCTTTTAAAAGCTAATATCTAAAAGCATGGTCTACCAATTTGCTCCTAAGGCTAGTCTTCTAGCATTGAATACTTGTCAGTTCAAGCCAACTGAATGGACATTTAGATTCTATAACAATATATTTATCCAAACAGCATTAGCTTGCTGATTTGGAAAAAATGACTTGGTTTGCAATATTGTCCTACTAATATAGTTTTTTCAATAAGATCCATCAATTTAATTGGACTAGTTTGCAACTAACAACTTGTGGTGTTTTGGTGGTGATGGTTCGGGTCGTCCAGTTTTTCTGATTATATTCAACATTCTTATTGTTCTTTTCTTCTTGGTCATATAGGGTGGTGACAATACAAGACCCCCCATACCAGCTAATGGAGTAATAACAGATGGCTCTAAAGTCCATCGTTGTAATGAAGAATCTGCTGGGCACTTGAAAATTGAAAGAGAAGAGGGTGAGTTATCCCCTAATGGAGATTTTGAAGAAGATAATTTTGTTGGCTACAGAGATGCTGGTATTGATGGAATGCCCAAGGCAAAGGATTCTGCTCCAAGTAGGCAATATCAACCCAGGCATGAAGAAGAGGAAATATGCTGTGGGGAGGCAGGGGAAAATGATGCAGATGCAGATGACGAGGGTGAAGAAAGTGCTCAGAGGTCAACAGAAGACAGTGAGAATGCCTCTGAAGCTGGTGATGTTTCAGGTAGCGAGTCTGGTGATGGCGAGGAGTGCTCCCGTGAAGATCATGAAGAGGAGGAAGATGTGGACCATGATGAGCATGACAATAAAGCTGAAAGTGAAGGGGAGGCTGAGGGGATGGCTGATGCGCATGATGTCGAAGGAGATGGTACCTTATTGCCATATTCAGAACGGTTTTTGTTGACAGTGAAGCCTCTGGCCAAACATGTCCCCTCTGTTCTACATGACAAAGAAAAGAAGGATTGCCGTATTTTTTATGGAAATGATTCCTTCTATGTGCTTTTTAGGCTTCATCAAGTAATATTTTATTTTGAAATATTATGAACTTCCATAAATTACTATTGTATTTCATCAAATTTCTTTTTTAATTTGTTTTTATTTCCTATGCCAGACATTGTATGAGAGAATACAGTCAGCAAAGTTGAATTCATCAACCGCGGAAAAAAAATGGAGAACTTCGAAGGACACAAACCCTCCCGATCTCTATGCCAGGTAATTGTGATTTACAGTTTTAGGTTCTTTCATACTTTAAAATATCCAAACTGCATATTAATTTGGAAATTCTTTCTATTTCCTTTTTTGGTGTGATTTCCAGATTTATGAGTGCATTATACAATCTGCTTGATGGTTCTGCTGATAATACCAAGTTCGAGGATGATTGCCGAGCCATCATTGGAACTCAGTCATATGTGCTTTTTACGTTAGATAAGTTGATATATAAACTTGTCAAACAGGTATGTAACTTGTAAATAATCTTTGCTATTTGCCCGTTAACTTTTATACCAAGATTCTTATTTGTAGCATTTCTCACAGCTTCAAACGGTTGCAAGTGATGAGATGGACAACAAGCTTCTTCATCTATATGCATATGAAAAATCAAGGCAATCTGGGAGATTTATTGATCTGGTTTATCATGAAAATGCTCGTGTTCTTCTTCATGAGGAGAATATATATCGGTTTGAATGTGTAGGTTTTCAGCAAATTTTCCTTTGTATCACCTGAAAAATAGTCCCTACTTTCCTTTGTATCACCTGAAAAATAGTCCCTACTTTCCTTTGTATCACCTGAAAAATAGTTCCTACTTTAGTATGTTCTTCAAAGAAGAAAAGGGTATAAATTAGCATATGGGTATATAAAATAGTTTTGTTTCTTGCAGTCATCCAGTCCAACCCGTTTGTCTATACAGTTGATGGACTATGGGCATGAAAAGCCTGAAGTCACTGCTGTCTCAATGGACCCCAATTTTGCAGCTTATTTGCATAATGACTTCTTGTCAGTTGTTCCTGATAAAAAGGAGATGCATGGTGTATTCTTGGCAAGGTACATAGATGACATCCGAGATTGCTTAGGTCCATTGCTTTTTAGCAAGTTACAATTTATTAATGGTAGTCTGTATTTACAGAAACAAACGGAAAAATGTATGTGGTGATGAACTTTCTGCTACATGTAAAGCTATGGAGGGAGTTACAGTGGTCAATGGTCTGGAGTGTAAGATAGCTTGCAATTCTTCCAAGGTATTCTTCTCTTTTCTATACTTCTAAAACTTTAAGATGCTTTCTATGGGCATTTATAATTATGAAGATGCATTGATTTGATCTTGATGTTTAAACCATTGCTTCTATGGTTGGCAATAATGAAATGTGTATACGGCAGGTCTCCTATGTACTAGATACAGAAGATTTCTTATTTCGCAAGAGGAAAAGGAGATGTTTATCTGTTGGTAGCTCTTCTTGTCATGACCAAGCAAAGACGCCAAATGGTAATGCTGCAAGAGTACAGCGGTTTCACAGATTGTTATCTAGTTCCTAGTATGCCTTGGTGCCAGGTAGATTCTGTATTCAATATTTCCTCCTTTTAGGAAAATAGAACTTAATTGCTCCATGATAAATAATGGATTAATACTGTTCTTTTTCCTTTATCCCCGAGTCTCTTATATAAAAGCCTTGAATTTGGTTTAGTAGAGCTTTTTTTTTCCGGNAAACACAGAACTTAGAAAACAGAAAGCAAAGAAACACAGAGAGAACTAAAAAAAACACAAATACCAGCTGCAAAGAAACTCGGGAACCATTAAGCTCTCTTTTGGAATGCCGAAACTCGGGAAGTGCATCTCAACTGCAGATATCATTAAGAACAGGCGAGAGGCAACAGGGGAACAGTTAGTAGAGCTGTTAATGCCAGCATTATAAACTTAACGGTATTCAATAATTATGAGGTTATAAATGTGATAAATAGATTTACTATCAAATGCTACATTGATGTATTTCATTGTATTTTTGGGATTGTTATTATTTCATATTTTTCGACAAAATTCTGAGCAACATGTTTTTTATTAGTACAATGTTAAGAAGATAAGATGCATTGAGAAAAACCTTGGGGGACTTGGTTCACTATAATTGCAAACAAGGATTGAAATTCTGCAGCCTGTTTTACACGATGTAAACAAATACCCATGTAGAGGATAATACAAAAACGAGTACTGTTTTCCTCCTTGCATGATTATATTTCGCTGTGGTCATGTTTCAACTTGAATGAATGTCTAAAATTCGCGATTTAATTATGTTTTGTCTTTTTGTCTGTAGGCGTCCTGCTGTTGGACGGTGCCTCCGCGCTGGGGCTGATGATTCTTGCCTACTTTGCTACTGCCAAGCTAAAGGCTTTCCAGAAGGCATGTTTCAGTCGCATTCTGTTATCTCTCATCATCCAAACAACGTGAGAAGGAGGGAAATGGATCGTAAAGTGGTGTAGTGTCCTGTAATTTCATTTTAGTGGCATATTCTGAGCCACTATTCTGTAAATAGGCTTTTTTTTTTAATCTTTGATATAAAACCTGAGAGGTGTATCTTCATTTCATTGGTTCTCATTTTTGTATTTCTTCCCATCACATACGAAAGCTTCCAATTTCTTGTTGCAATTGGTTTAAGATACTCGGGTATTCCACTGACTGTTAACCTACATAATTCGCCCGAGTACACACAATGAAAGAGGGAATTATGTGCCAAATTAATCAGTATGGAATCCTCAAACATCATGGAATCACGGAACAAAGAGCCAGAGGTTTAGAGCTGCAAATGCAAAGGGATTCATCAGATAAAAATTTTGATTCGTTACTTTGTACAATGCCATATAACCCAACAATGAAGCTCGTCGGATAAAAAATTTCATTCGTTAGGGGTGTTCATATAACCGAACCATGATGCTCACTGGTCGGTTAGCAGATCCCAACGGTTTTTGAAAATTACCAAACTGAATTAGTTGTGATCGGTTCAGTTTTTTGGTTTTTTAATTTTTATAATATATTTCAAATACAAGTAGGTATATATATTCAGCTTTTCCTGAATATCTTATTAGTGTATGCATATTATAATCATTCCATTGAGAGAGAAATCAATTTCTGATCTGAATTGATTCAGAACAAGCAAGAACTGGAAATTATTAATTGGAAGAAACCAGAACCATTACAATCAGTTAGGTCGGATCAGGTCCATCGGTAGACCCAACCCATTGACAGCCCTAATCTAAAAGTGGTAATCAATCAGTTGGGTTTTAAATGGGGGGGGGGGGGGGTTCCAATATTATGTATTCCTATCATCATAAATTTTTCCTTATTCATACTCGGAATGTTTTACTGTTCAGGGTTTGCCACCAAACGTGCCCAAATCAATTCCCCTTCCCCTTCATGGAATTTCTCAGTTGTTAATGTCATAATAAACACGAATTCTAGCAAACGAGAGTATAATACGTCGCAATACAGGAATTATGAGACCTATGAAGTGCAAAACAAAATTAGGCTGGGGATTACCAGGGTTGCTTACCAACGTTCTCGTCTCCTCGGGAGTTCTAATCTGTTTTCGAGAAATGCAAGCAGGTAAAGCTGGCTTTATGCATCACTCATGAGTCATGATTAGACCTGTTCATGGCTGGGCTTCGGCCCTGACTTTCCACTGTATTAGGCTCGGGCTTCAGGCCGGATTCATTTAAATTTTGACAAAAGCTAAGCCCGAGTCTAACCCATAAACAAGTCCGTTCAAGACTTCTGCACGGTCTCCCTGTCACCTCTCTCTTTACCCAGGTAAGTGTTAGCATATAACAACGCTGAAAGCATGCTTACCCATCGAAATTAAAACGAACTAGGCCTTTGTATCACCACTTTAACTATTGAATTATCCTTCAACCACAGAAAACCATAAAAATCCAGATTGAAAGAAAAGGGGTAATTTGAAGGGGGGAGATTCCCAATTCATGCTGAGATGTGCATGGGGATGCTCTTTATGGGGCGCAGATGTGATCTCAACGCCATACCGCCCACGGGTAAGTTGTTTATCCATGTTGTGAGAAGGTATCAGTTAGCCAGATAATTGATACTTTTTAAATATTCTATTTTCCGTAGGATATATCAAAAAATGAACAAGGGTATTGTGGTCAATTTATCGATTGACCAACACCAAGTCACCAACTTACCTCAGCTAAATACGGCAAGGCCAAAGAGCTTTTTGGAACTTTTGTACAGTTTGGGTCGGACGACACTGCTTCTGCGTTCTGCACGTCACAAGCATGGTGGAACTTTTGCATAAGCATTGACCATTAAAGTATTAACAAACCATGAGATGTCAATCACCTAATGTTAGAAAGAACGTCAGTCCAACTTGATTATATATCACAGTAAGACCTTTTTTTTTCTTTCTTGTTGACCAATTTTACCAGAGGCAACAATCAAGAGGAAAGGTTGAAAGGTTGAGGTATCTAAAAGCCACTCTGGCTGTAGGTAAGCGGCCATTCCAAATGGAGCTGTAGTTTTGGTTTAGGGATATGGTTTTTAAAACCTGATCAGACCAGAAAAACAGGGAACCGGTTAGGTGATCAGTTACGTTTTACCCCAAAACCATTATTTCCTCAAAAACTGTTGATTTGGTCAGCAAATTACTGACCCGGGTGATCAAATGTTCGAACCATTCAACGGTTTGGTCGGTTTCTTTTTTATTTTTTTTATTTTTTTGTCAAAACAAGCCATCCATTCGGTTCGAACAATTGGACCGTTCAACCTAGGAACCGGACCCCTGACCGGTTTGTTGTCTAGTTCAGTTTTAAGAACCATGACCACGGATAAAGTAGCAAAGTTGTTGAATTTCTTTGCACGCGACAGATGTTGGAGGTAGGGCTGCAAGTCAGGTCAGGTTAGGCCGGGTTGAGGCCAACCCTAGCCCAACCCTAAGTTCTAAACCCCAACCCTAACCCTAACCCAACCCAACCCAACCTGAAGTCAATTTCGGCTTGGGTTGGGCCCAACCCAACCTTCTTCCCATCCTTTAAAACCTCACAGAATTTCTCATTTTTAGATCTTAACTCAACTTTCACTGCATATATTAATCCTATGTTTCTTTAGTATTTGTTTATTGACGTTATTTTTTTGTTCTTTTAGTACAAAATTCAGAAAAACAAGTGTTAGAAATGACTATAGTTTATTATGAGTTATGACTTATGATAGATCTTTCTTGGGCGGCAAACAACATAGAGGAGATGAAGAATAAAATTTTCATAAAAATAAAATAATGTTATTAAGGTTTTAGTTTTTCTGATTAGGATTAAGTGAAGTGATTATCTTGAAAGAAATACATGATACTATGTGGTGGGGGCTATACAAATATCATGCATCTAAACAAATCAATGTATGTTATATATTACATATAACATATATTTATATATGACATGTACTATAAAGTCGGGTTCGGGTTGGGTTGGATTAGCTAAGGGGTCAACCCTAACCCTAACCTAAACATCAACCCAACCCAACTTTTTTGGGTTGGATTAGGGTTGTGTTCGGGCCAACCCGGCCCAAGTTGCAGCCTCAGTTGGAGGCTTTGATTCAGTTGTTTCACCACAAGGCAGGGCTATAGACTATCGTAGCAAATGTGGGTTGAAGCCCAAGGGTTCTACTAGAGACTACTACTTTGTATTTTCATTCAACCCCAAACTCTTCTTATGTGGCAGGTTCAAGCGATGATGAAACCACTGCCATGTTTTTCCTTCTAATTCTCTACCCATAACCCATGCCACATAGTCGTTCTAACTTCTAAGGGATATTCGGTCTTAAGACTAAAAATAGAAAGTCAGAAACAAAACTGAACAAACGAGTTTTACTTGTTGGTTTTGCTTATTATATACCATGATAACTGAGGGTGGATTCAAACCGAGCCAAATACTTAGCTATTCGAGCTCAACTCATAGGAGTAGTATCAGGCTCAAGCTCGATTCGAGCTAGAGACTTGAGGTTGAGCTTAGCTCGGTTCATATCTCACAAGTTCTAGCTCGGCTCGGTTCAAGCTCGACTATAATCTTTTTTTTTGGAAAATAAAAATTATATGTATAAAATTATTTTTTATTTTTTAGACAAAAAACTCAGAATTATAAAAATTATTTAATACTATACATGAAAAATAAAACTATTATATTGATAAAATAATAATAATAATAATAAAACTATTATTATTGTTATTATTATTATTATTATTATTATTATTATTATTATTATTATTATTATTATTATTATTATTATTATTATGTGTGTATGTATATAATAAAAATTATTTATTTAATACTAGGCTCATGAGCCTCACAAGTTGAGCTTCATTGGGCTCAAGCTAGACTCAATTAGCAAACGAGCCTATATATCAGGCTCAAATTCGGCTCAAAGCTCGGTTTAGACCGAGCTAAGACAAGCTCGAATAGTTCGTGAAAGGCTCAGCTCATGGCCACCCCTAGTGATCACTATGGATGATTGGTTGGCAGCTCCATTCTTTGAGTAATGTAAATGTAAATATGTTGCGATTTCAACCATTTGATTAAATTAACTCTTTATATATATAACTAGTGGGGACCCGTGCAATGCATGAGAGTTGTTAAGCAAAAATTAAACAATAGAAATACATAGGAGTATATAATTGTTTTATATTTTAACTTTTTAATAACCAATCCGATCGAACTTGACTCGAGTTGGTCGATTTTCTAGTATTTCCGATCGGCTTTGGTTTAGTTAATAAATAGTGTAATCTCAAATAATAGTTTAACCTCTAATAAATATTAATCGATAAATTATAAAAAATACATAATTACTAAAAATGTATTTATAACAAAAATACAAAAAAAAATACGATAAATTAAATTTCAAAAGTTAAACAATAGTTGTTTAATGTCCAATAATTATTAACAATTTAATGTTAAATAAAAAACATAAATAGATTTATAAATAATTATTGAAAACATATTTATCAAAAAATACAATAAATAATTACTGAAAATAAGGTAAATATTAATTTTAGTATATATAAATATATATATATATATGAATTACTGAAATTAAATTAAATATTAATTTTAGTATAGATAAAAATATATGAATATACACTATTATTGTAAAATCATTACTAATGAATATTATTTTTTTGAAAGTTGTTTTCTATATATATTAATTGATATTAGTGGAATTAGTTATTTACAATATTATTTAGTTATTTAAATTTTAAATAAATTTTTAAAATATAAACTATTTATAGAACTTAATTTTGAAAAATATTAAATTTTTATTAATATGAAATCTATTATAATTAATTTTCTTCTAAGAATTTTTTTTTTTATTTTTTACAGAATTTCATTATTTTAACTATTTAAAATTTAGTCATGTTAAATATTTCGTTATTTAAACATTTAAATAATATGTAAAATATTTAAATTTTTTTCATTTTTTTCATTTTATTTATTTTAATGTTATTACGTAATATTAAATATTTTGTTATATAATTATTTAGATATTTTTAATGTTTTGTTATTTAAGATGCTTAGTTATTGAAATATTTAAATAACATTTAAATTTTTAGTGTTAAATTTTATTATTTGAATGACATTTAAATTGAATAATTCATAAAATTATAAATTATATTGTTACTACATAATTTCATGACGATTTTTTGTAAAAATATAGAATTATTAATAATATGAATATTATTAAATCTATTATAATTAATTTTTGTGTTTTGAATAAATATTTTAAAGTCAAAATATAATTTTGCTATAATATTTAAATAATTCAAAAAATTTTTAATTGAAACTTTTTTTAGATAGATGTAGATAAAATTGGGGGAGAGGATAAATAGGAATCAGAGATAGTTTAGGAGGGAATCTCTCTACTAAATTAGAGATAATTTAAGGGATAGATAGGAATTAGAGACAATTTAGGAGAAAATGGGGAAAAGTGGTACCACTTGGCTAAACAATAGGAAATCCCTATTTCTTTATGGTTGTTAGCAAGGTTCAAAAACTTGTTACTCGGCCGATAGGTATCGTATTGGGAGCACCACGATATGCCCCTATAGAAAGTGTATCAGAGTTTTGACCAGTTTTGAAAAAAAAAAAAACAATATTGATACTGCCTATGTTATTTCTCTATTGGTTTAATAGGTAGTTATGTAAAATTAAAAAATAAAAAAAAGGGGCTTAGAGCAAAAAGAGAGGCATAATGACATGGACTGTATTGTTATATAGATAGATAGATAGATAGATTTTATTACGGTTACAGGTGCCCACCTGCCCAGACACTGTTGCCTTGAGTTATTCTTCTCTTTCCCCTTAAATATCAATCCGAAATCTGGTGAAAACACGATAGGTCACCTTGTATTGGGGTAGTTAGTTATGTGCGACATTGACCAAATTACTCACCATGAACTACTCAGACCCTGAAGATTCTAACAATCTCCTAGAATTGACTTAACAGTGCACTCGCTGTGGACCGGACAATTTTCATTCATTGAGGAGATGAAATGCTAAGAAAAGTCGAGTGGATACAATATATAATAGCAGGGACACTTTAGGTATATTAAAGGGCCCAATGCTTCTGTCTTTTTTACCACGCGCATTGCATGGGTGTCACTGCTCAAGTTTCTCGCCTCATCTCATTGATTGGAATGGATGTCATTTCTGCTAAGATGTTTCTGCCAAGTTAGCACCATGCAGGCATTTTGCCTTCTCCCTGTTTTTTTTTTTATTTGGTTGAACGTTTTCTACCCATTTCAAACAACACTGAGTACCTAGGGCTCTATCGATGCCACTTTTGAAGAAAACATCATTTTAATATTTGTTGCAATAGCCAATAGGGACCGAGATTACCACTTTGGCCACTGGTTTCCAGGTCAGCGGTTAGACCGTCTGATTCGAACAGATGGTCCATTCCAACTTAAAAAATAAATAGAATAATTAATTAAAATAAAAAATTAATCAAAAACCATTGCCCAGGTCAAAGATATTAATAGTTTGAGCCTTAACAGTTCCCAGGCTGAACGGTCAATCCATCCAGATCAACGGTTTGAAAACAATGACACGGACAACATTTTCTCCTTTTGCATATGCGATGACTAATGATGCCTAAATGGCACTAAATATCAATTTGATATTTGCATAAAACCATGGATAACTTTACCAAATTCCAAGGTGTGGCCATTGCCTAACGGCATTAATACCAAATATAGCCCTAAATATCATCATATCATCCTATCTAGATGTCTGCGATAGATCCATGTACGAGTACTCTTCCTACCACAAGAAAACTGGACCCCCCCCCGGTAAATGGTTTGAAAAAACAAAAAAGAAATTACAAAATTGTAGAAAATATTTATTTGAAATTTGAAACTTGAAACCAAAAACGTGTTATATAGAGGGTACATGCATGATTTGTCTTTCTTAAACAAAGGAAACCGCCATGTCAGCACAACCCATATTATTTTTGCTGATGTTGAAGTAGCATTTATTTTAAAAACAAGTCATACATATTGGCAAACACTCGGGTTTTTGGTTTCAAAAACACAATTTGCTTTGATAGTTTGGTGCAGTGTTTCATTAGCATAGTATTTTTTTATTGATTTCATGAAGCGTATATAATTCTGATAGAGATTCTAATCAATTGGATAAAATCAGTATATCTTTTTTCCATAGAAAAAATATATATAACAAAATAATAAGATAAAGATAAGATTTCTATATCTTTTTTTTATCTTGTATCTAATCTTTGGACCCATATCCATTGAAAGAGCCAAAAAAAAATATTCATATTAAAGCAAACCCCTAAGTCTGTTCATGATGTGCTTTACCTGTCATCAGCAGAAGGTCATCAATCAAATCAGATGTCCATCTCAGGGGCATCTTTGGTTCAAATTGGTTGCTACCTCCCTCATCGTAACTAGTTAAAATGATCTATTCAATCGATCCCAACTAGCTCAGGCTGAAGGAAAGAGGTTTAACAAGGATTAGCGTTGCCAGTGTCAAAACTGACAGTCCACACCTGGAAAGTGGAAACACTACATAACATGCGTAACAGTGTGACACTGATCCAAGCAATAGAGTTTTATGTATATGCAGATGTAATATGATAATTGTGCAGTATGAATAGTCAGACTTACGTGGGTAAAGTTGGCCCAAGGCTGAGGCCCTAGCCCATGCCCTACCAAAACTATCTCAACTCATAATTTGCAGCCTATGCCCACCCAATAAGGTGAAAATAGTTGGTTCTGACTGAGTGCAATCCTACAGCACACAAGAAGTCTGTTAGTGTCGAAACCCTGCAGAAGAAAACCATGGCTAAGAAAACAATGGACAATTCCGCCAGTTTATAAAAGCTGCTAGACCTAATCTCAAAGAAGGATGCCAAAAGGACAGACGTCAATATTACCCCAGAAATGTTTTCATTTACTCAAACTAAGAAAGGCTAATAAAAATGGAGGATTTTCTGCAGTTAGATGGAATATGCAATACATAAGTATGAAAAAGCCTCCACTCTTTGGCAAACAATATGCAGACAGTAGCTTTCCAATTACTTACAAGGTCATCCAGCCATGTTAGATACAAATATTGCTTTATCTTCCACCAGCACCTCAGGCCCAGTAGCCATCATAATAGCTTTAGAAAGACTCAAAAGTTCAATCAACCAATTCCACATAATTCGTGAGCAGACCATGGCATTGGATGATAGCTTGACAGGAACAATATTTATATGGTAACTTCATAGTGGTTCATGAAGTTATCCAGCAAGTTCGCTTATTGGTGGACGGTCCATGACATTTGATGCAACCATTGCATTGTTTTGCAGTACTGGATCAATATCAGGCAATTTGGGGATCTAGAAAAAGAATGATTGTCAGGTGAAGTCAGAAATTCAATAAAGAAGTCTAAATGATCCAACTGTGAAATATTGAAACAATTTTAAGTACTTGACTAGCAAACCTGCTTCCTACACATAAATACATAACTGTAAAATTCTGGTGTTTCCTTCTGGCTGAATGAAATGAAATTTTTCAAAATTTCCAACGTAATTATTTACTATGTATATATTCATTTATTTTATATCAATACTTCATTATGTTTCTTCTATACAAACACTAATAGGCCCTTGTTTAGGACGGTTAATGCCCATCTGTGGAGAAGTCAAATACAAAGTTGGGTAATAGGGCTGATCCAGAGATTGCCCTACCCAGTAGAAGGTTCAGGTCTGCCATAGGATTCCTCCACATGGCTTAATCGGTGGGGTTTTTCCTAGTGAGCTTCTTTGCTTGAACCTGTTAGAAAACCTTTTTCATACTAAAGTAGGAAAATTAACACTACAAACACATAAAGTCATGGATGGATGCAGAGAGATATACATGCATACACGTAATATGTTACAGATAAATTGTACATACCTGAGCCAATAGATCAATTGTTCTTCGTAAGAGGCGAGCTAAATCCCCTTCATCCATTGCACAGTCCATCATAATTTCCCGCCAAGTTAAACCAGAAGCCCAGGCTTCAACCATTCCAGAGAATTGACTATCTAATTCACAAGGTATCTACAAAAACGAAAGCATGGTTATCTTGTTAACTACTTGTATTGCAACTTCTATCAGAACAAGAACGAGTTATTTTTACCTGAATAACTATAGAAGCAAATTAAGTACAGGAAGGACACCGCTCATGCTTTTCAAAAAACAAAAAAAGAAGCAACTTACCTTTACTCCATGCTTTTCTTGAAGCTGCAAAAGGGAGCTCCTTTTCTCATCCAAAATCTTAATGATATTGATTACAGTATTTGAAGGTTCATATATGTAGCTGCAAAATTAAAATTTCAGGCACAAAATGATTTTCAACTTCCATTCATAGTAATACACCTGCATCATTCTACATAGCTATTGCAGTAATCATCTAATTTAGTAACATATACACATGGTAAAAATTAAGGATCCAATTTAATAACATATACACATGGTAGAAATTACGGATTGTAATCAATTTGTAATTTAGAGATTTCATGGACCACTGGCATATTGTACACAAACAGTATAGCAAAACTCTCCTCCCACCACTGCAAGTGATGCTTTGTTCTTCAAATAAGCAATGCAGCTAGATCAAGAGCCTAGTCTCACTTTGAGGAAAGAAAATTTGACCCATCATTTTTTAGCTTATAAGGTTCAGTTGAGCCTGAATATGGCTAGTTTAATAAAAGACTCACCTAATCAGACAGACAGGCAACTAAACCAAAAACGTACTACTCATCAGCCTGGTACAACCCTAGGATCAGGTTACATAAAAACTTGCATCGACAGGACATCCAGACTGCTCAACCAGCAAACCCTTCTCCCAGGTGAGTCCCATCAAAGCAGTGAAATTCAGAAAATTGTATCCAAAATAAAAGCAAAAAAGGAACAAAAAATGCAGCATTATCAAAGAAAGGAGCATATGCTACAATGAGTTTGACTGTTAATTTTGTTTGAAGGGATCAAATACTGATCAAAATTAGCCTTTCTTGATGCTGTAAAGGATTCAACAAGTATATGCTTCCAGAACAGCTATAAAAGTTGTAGAGAAGAACAAGAATAAAAACAAACACATACGCTATGGCCACAACAGCACCAAGGCCAATTGACAGTTATCAGTTCTGAAACCATTTGAAAAAGCCCAGCATAAAGAGCAATTTTATCAAGAAACATTAGAAAATAAATTTTGCAGCAAAATAGTATTCCCCAAGAAATGCAGATTAAAAAAATACACTAATAATGAGCGCAGTAGACACAGGAATATCAGGGAATCTAAAAAAAACATAGAAATACTTCAGTAAAGCCACAGAATATGTGCCTTGATAAGATTGGCATTTTAACATTTTTCAGATTATTATGTACCATCCACTTCCTTTCTTTTGGTGTTTCTTTTTCATTGCCTTGGCATTTTCTGTAAGCTTCTTACACCGACACTTTTTATGGTTTGCTTCCCTTGTGCCTTGCCTGTTTCTGACATGGTTTCATCTCACTAGATTCCTTCTGGCTTAACCCTATTTTATTCTGTTTTGAGTTTTGACTCATTCTTACATTCACAGATGATTATCTTGAGCAATATTTTCACCCAACACTTTTTCAAGAATAACCTCATTTACATGCCCTACTTGTGGAGCCTAATAAGTTGTACAGTAAGATTGTCATGCTTTTCTATTGTGATCTTTTACTAATTGGCTTGTAAAGAGACAAATTTATAGTGCACAGAAAGGGTGTCTCTAAATGGTAAATATAGGAATAGGTGTAGGTAGAAAGTTTATTTTTGCTGAAAATGGTAATTTCTACAAGACTGGCTATGCTCAAATCTACAACTTCTCAGATCCCTAAAAAAATAAAAAGTTAAACAGAAGGCCCAGAACTGAAAATTACAAAAACGCCACTGATTACTCTCACTAATGGAGAACTCAAATATCTCCAAAACTACTAACCAGATCGATAGGGATTCCCCTCTTTGTTTTGGCATGCCCTAGAGAAAGTTTAAATTTTGGGCCCATTGGAACCCCATGGAACCCACAAAACAATCTCCAGATTTCTTTAGGCTTCTCTCTAACTTGGAATTTTGCTTTTTGGCTTATTTTTCTTCTTGTGAAGGTGCACTGCAACTGCCTCTGTACACATGTAGCGCAACTAAAAAACAGTAATTTTCTCATTTTGGTATACTACTATACTTCGCCAGTTTACCTGGAGAAAAATTTTGGCTATCTTTTTATTATTTATTTACCAATCTATTTATTTATTTATCAGTAAATTTTGGCTATCTTATTAAACCATAGAAGTGAGTCGAAAGCAGCATACACACCAAAAATCAAAAATAGAAAGGAATGCACACAATGCAATGAAAAAAAATGGCAATACCTGTTATTTTTCCAAGGACGAACTTTGATTCCATCTGAAACTAGACTACCACAAACTGCAGCAAGTTGTGCAGGCTTTAATTCTAGTAAAATTCTATTCCGGAGCACCATTGCAAGCCAAAGTTCATTTTCTCCTCGAATTGCTGCTGCTGTTTCACCAAGTGGAAATATCATATGTGTATTGATATCCAATGCTCTGGCTTCATGTATAATGTTGCTGATCTGGTAGACATAGATGTTCTCAAAGTCAAAATGCATATGGGCCAAGTAAAATGTACTTTTGGGTGCCTATCATTAGTTGTTTTTTTTAAAAGGTAAAGTAAATTTTATTCATGATGAAAAAATCATACAAGAAAGGGAAGGATCAAGAAATATAAATCCCCAAAGGGACTGATCAAAGCTCCCACAGATTGACAGAATTAAGCATCACAAACATGTTCTGATTACAAAACACAGGGATGGCAGAAAGCCAAGAAGCAAGTCTGGCTACAATACACTGGATCAGCACCTCCAGCTCTTTCCTCTCATTTCTGATAATTCTGTCATTCCTCTCAGACCATATAGAGCTGATAACTGCAGCTGGGATGGCTGTATCTTTTGGATGGCATCATAGTAGAAAGGAACTGTATCTTTTGGATGACATCAAAATAAAAGATAATAATAAACAAAAAGACAAATAAGCATGTCTGTCATGCATGTGAGGAAAAATAGCAAATAATATGGAATATATTTAAGCGAGAGAGAGAGAGGNGGGGGGGGGGAAGGCAGGTGATACATTTTCCAAGTCCCACTCCAGGAGACAATGAAAATTTAATAACACAAATATCTTTATCTTTCTAACCCCCAAAAAAAAAAGTTAACTTGCAGAATATTTTGCATGTTCCCAAAATTTGAAAAAAAAAAAAAATCAGCAGTGAGCATTGAAGCTGGCATATTGAAACAACTGAAGAATATTTTGCATGTTTCCAAAACTCAGTATTCCAACAGCATTTACACTAACCATTCTTTTCAACCATGCAGTGTAATTTGATGGCATTAAACGTTAAAAGTTTCAAATGCTGCTTATTTCTGTTGGTTTGAGGGGTCAGGATTTAAATTAGCCCCATAAAAAACCACTTTTTTGTTCCAAACCAAAGAAAAGAAAAAAGATAATGGTTCAGACACAAATTTTCCCTTACACTCAGTTTGGAAGAGGTACAAATACAAATATGTAGAGTGCAAAACCTTGTCTTTTGTATTATTTTGTATACATTTGTACTGTACATATTTGTATTTGTACTGTTTCCAAACTGATCCTTAATGACAACAAGGGGGAGTATTAAAAGAGGAGATGCAAAGTCCCATGAACCTATAGATGCAAAAGCACATTAAGAAGAACCAGAAAGAGGTTTCCTCGACATAAACCAAAAAACCAAGAAAAAACAAAAAAAAATCAAAAAAGAGTACTGCATGTATAAGAAGCAATATGTTGGTTGGACACAATAAATTGTATTAATGCAATACAAGGGAATACTTTCTTGAGTAATAAGAGAAGTGCTATAAAAAATATTTGGTTTTTAAAGGAAACAATATTTTATTGATACCTGAAGGAATTCCTTCCAACCAGATGGTTCAATTTGCTCTATTCGAGTAATTAGACGATCTGCTCTAGCTTTCAAACGTTCAATCTTTTCCTTGGAGAAGTTAGTCATATCTATGATCTTTTGATATTCTTTAAAGCCTTCAGTACGTGCAATCTTTTTCTTCAATCGGGAAACCCTATTCCTTTGCTCCTTGTACAGCTCAACAGCATCATGATATGGTTGCGACATTTGCAGCACCTGACAATTGGAGAAAAAAAGGCTAAGCATCTACCATGTAATTGTCTTAAATCTCTTCCAATTGCAACACCAAAGCCAATAAATTAGTAACCAATGCAATGTAATATTGACCCAACAAAATAAATACAAAAGAAAAATTAAAATGAAAATTCCATAATTGCATAGATCCACCTCGTCATCATCTGAAAGGCTGCTAAGGACTGGAACATTTAAACTCCAAGACCATGTATCAAGGGATCCTTCCATGCTCCACAAGCCTCCAAGTTCAGAATTAGCAAGCTTCTCCCACTGTACTTCTTCCTTATCAAGAAGAGCCTTCATAATTTCCCGAGGCAAAGCATCACCCTGAGCTAAAGGAATATTAGGAAAGCCAGTCCTATAAACTGTTTTAACCCACTTCTCTGTAAAGAGATACCAAGAGTTATCTGAACCAAGGGCCACATAATGAGATGGTTTAGCATCAAAGTGTCCTCCAGCATCTCCAGAGTGTAACTCTGTTCTGATGGTAGTTTGCACTAAAGAATCATCAGCACAAATCTGCCATTTAGAGAATGATCAGCAAACTTGGCTATGATCTAACAGGAATGAAATGTGAGAATGAAACATGACAAAAAGGGCAAAACCAAAACCCTAATTAAAACAAAACTTCATGCACAAAGAAGTTCCAACTTTAAAGCAAAATACAGGTTCAATTATCATTTGCATCTAGTAGGGACAAATATATACAACAAGAAACTGCCAACTCTCACCATGCTCTTCATTCTTGAACCAGAAAGGGAATCAACTTTCCCCAGATAAACAGCAGGGACTAAGTGTTGAACCCCATCACTATCTTTATACTGCAGACACACAAAGGGTAAGTGTCCATTTTCCAGCTCCTCCAATAGAGGAGTTAAAGATGCAATTCTCTCTGATTCCATTCTTTGTCGCAGCTCTGTCCGAAGTCGCTTCTCTGCCTGAGAAAGAAATGCAAACATCCTCAAAAGATGATACAAAAAATAAAGGCTGCCAATATTCTAGCAGTTAATTGAGGCAGGATGGGAGTCAATAAGACTGATCTAGATTGGGGCATACCTGGTCTTGGTGTTAATATGCAACTGTTTTCTTTCTACAGACTACAGTACAAGTATGACAGTATCGGTCTTTGGCTTATTTTTTATCTGTCCTCTCCCAGGGCTGTTGGAAAGCATTGGTGTGCCATCCATTTAATGTGAAATCTCTGTTAATGATATAAAATAACAAATCCATATATACATCTTTTGGATTCAACCATCACAAAGTACAGTTTCAGCAAAATGTCTACTTGCCTATGCAAATCTAATAGCACCACATGGAAAGATGCATAAAAACCATAGGTTTGGCTATTCTTCATTTCGTCATTCTTGAGGTTTGTAAGATACAAAGCTCTAAGTTGAATCAAGAGGCAAACTGCACTGGGCCAAGCTCCTGGGTATATACAATTGTCTTTTTTTCCTCTTTTTTTCGCCACATATATATATAAATAAATGTAAAATTCCAGGTCAGCCTAGACCCAGCCCAGGCTAAAACAATCAGCCCTCTTCCTAAAGCTTGACGCATGAGTAAGCATTTGCATGCCTAGATGAAGTAAGGTACCATTTTTGGAAAAAAAAAATTAAAAAAAAATATTATATAAGAAAATGAAAATCTAGATTGTGAAAGAAATAAAATCTAAAAGCCCATTTAACTCAATTGGTTAGAGTGCCATGTTATTAATATGAAGGCTGCATAGTTATAGGTTTAAGTTCTATCAATCTATGTAGGTTAAACTATTTGAACACTTAAAACCATGGTTACAACTTATATATGAAATTACCTGTTAAAATCAAATTTAATAGTAACTCATCAAAACATAAGAAGAAGGCAGGTGAGGCACAATTGGATTTAAGTGAGGAGCACCCGATAAAATGAGTCATCTATAAGCCTAATGCATCAAGCATGCCTTTTAAAACATGAGACAGAGATTGTCAAGACCTGAAAAAAAAATGGACTTATGGAAGTACCCGTAATTCCTCCTGCAGATCAGATATTTCCCTATATGTGATCGCAGAGAGCTGCTTTCGGACCTTCCTATCAACAGCATCATCACTAACTTCTGAAGTTAACACCTCAATCTCTTTCTGTATTTTTGTGAGCTCCTCTTTGGATGCAAGCATGACATTGCTCCCAACATAGTTTCCAAAGCTTTGCTCAACTAGCTTCCTAGCTTCTTCCAACGTTCGTCCCGCTTGAAAATGTTTCATGTCCTCTGATTCCTTCAATCTGCGAGTGATTTTTGCACCCTGTGTGGCACTAACTATATCATTTTCTGAAATACATCAGAAGATATCAGCTCATGATTATGATATATGCACTTACTGCAAGAAGATTCAGAACCATTCCATAAGAAGCAGTAAACTGTGAAACAAGAGGATCCACTCCAGCAAAAAGAAGCTTGCAGCACTCTTCTGCTCCTTCATAGGGAGTCTGAACAAGAACCACATGACCCCTTTCATCAATACCTCGACGTCCAGCACGTCCAGCCATTTGAAGCAGTTCATTTGAACTTAACTGGATTCGTCCAGCTTCACTCCTTTTACTGAGAGATGAAATAACAGCAGTCCTAGCAGGCATGTTAATTCCAGCAGCAAGTGTTTCTGTAGCAAAGACAACCTTAACAAGTCCTTGCTGAAACAGCTCTTCAATAAATGACTTCCACAGGGGTAGACAGCCAGCATGGTGTGCTGCTACACCTTGCAGAAGGCCCTTTATAGCAGTCTCTCTAACTGCATCTGGATGTTGTATATGGAACTTCTTCAAAGCCAGCTGAACTTCGCCCATCTCACACTCATCCAAAAGTTTGCAATCTTCAAGATACTGAACAGCTGCATCACATCCTTTTCTGCTAAAAATAAACCAAATAGCTGGCAGCATATCCCTTGCCCTAAGTTGCCATAAAGTATCTCTAATCTGAGGAACCTGGAAAACAACAATGTTCTTACGTCAGAAATTTGCAATAAAAAAAACGAAAGAACAAAACATGTCAAAATAACCCCAGGATAAGCATTTCACAAATGAAGATAGCCAGCCAAAAAAAGCCAGGAACTAAAAGCAAATCCATACTTGTGAACGGCGGATTGTATTTATGTCATTCTTTGACAGTGCTGACTGTCCATACATATTGATACTTCTGTAATTCTCGCTTTCACGTCTTCTTGAGCTTCTTCTTCTAGATTTATCATCTTTGTAAGGTTCTACTCCAGAAGTAGAAAATTGTAAATAATTGAGTGACAACTTCCTGTTCCAACACATACGAAATCATAAATACTGCTGAGTTCCAAGCAATGGGTTCCAGGACAAAGAAATGGCAAATAAAAATAAGGCCACAGTGATGTGATACGCATTGATTATACTTGATTTCATAGTGCATATAGAGCCACTGGAAAATTAAAATGCACCCACTCTTATTGAACATCTTAAACATGATAACAATGAAAAAATCTATGGCGGTCAAATGTATCTAAATCCATAACCAAGAAGTGAAGTCCTTAATCAGCAACTGTCATTGCAAAACCATGTGCAGCTCCTTATGAAGAGTGTGTTCATACATACATATACATATGCATATGTATGTTTGTGTTATTTCATGTCAAGAACAGTGGTGCAGAGTGATTTGAAGATCTAAGTTTTAATTTTAAACAGAACAATGAAGAATGACCATTGGTGAAGATGGAAAGGTGCCTGTTCTCAGAATCAAGATTCAGTTAAAATATGACATAATTGTAAAATATGCCATACTTATATATGATCTTAGATGCATTAACTGGGTATCTCAGAGTCTCAGACACAATATCATATGTATCAAGGACACTTCATCTTCTGTTATCTGGCCACAAAGACTAGGTTTTCAAGACTGCTATTCAGTCTTGATCACTAAGAGATTTTAGGTTCGATGAGAAGAGAAAGTGAAGAAGATGTAGAAGAAAGAGTGATGGAAGAGCAATAGAACACAGATTTTGAGGAGAAGAACAGAATGTCAATATGCCACTTTAAGTTAATATATATAGGTTATGCTAGTTACATGAAAGGACATATCTACTCTTGGTGTTTACATCATAACTACTAACAAATAACAACCAATATAAAACTGAAACTAAAAATAACAGAACAACAAAATAACCACAGCTGTGACTAAATACATTCTACCCTACGGACAGAGTGGTACCATAGCTGTGGGGCCCACATCAATGTTCTCTACAAAGACAACTACCAAAATTCACATAAATACATGTCAGACACATGCCGAAACTTCTAAAGCATAACAATCATATCTTTTGTTTCAATTATTACTAGAATTTTATTCATATAAGATTTTAGATATGCAAATCTCTACATAGAAAAAAGTACATAACTCAATTGTATTAGGAACCAAATTCAGAATATACAAATGAACTTTACTGACATGTCTGTGTTTCAAGTTTTCAAAACTGTTTTAGATATGTCCTTATCCCAAAGGAAATGGCATATAATACTTATTTCATACCTGTAAGCTGCAATAAGTAATATGTTATACAGAACTGGATAATTCACACAAGTACAATGGCATCTGCAATGGTGCATATGATGAATTTGGACAACCAAGCCAAACTCCAGTTTGACTTTTGGACTGATTTATTGACTGGTTATGACATAATCCTACTAGTTTGCTTATGATTATCCTAGCATTATATATAAGATCAGCAGCATTGCTTTAGGTTCACAACAATCAGCTAAATCCAACCAATTTCAAATCAAAACCTCTCTACTATGCCAGCTTGCCAAACCAGCAAGAACTGAAATTGACATGTCATTCAAAGTTAAATCAGCAACCACATACTTTCTAATTCTCATGATTATCCAGGGTTTCTTTTCTCAATATTGAATTTTTATGCTGGAATCTGGGATTTTATCAAAAGTAAGCTGAAGATGTGGTTGTTACAGAAAACCAGAGCACTTTTGCTTGGTATCTTAATTTTCCTCTCAGTCATTTATCTTGTTCCATTTGCTTTATACATCTATAATTATTTGTCACTGTTGTGTGCTTTATTGTTTCTACTTATATTTTTATGAGTAGTAAAATGTGCATTATATCAATCTAGTACCTCCAAAGAAAACACCTTAGTTGTAGAAGTAAGTAAAGTAGATATGTTGAAATTTAGCACAGAAAGTGTTGTTGCCTATGCACCTTTGTAGTGCACACTAGGTCACTGGCATGCATCTGCATTACTATAACATACATAACATTGTTAACATAATGCATGACAGAAGCTAGCAAGGGGGGATAGATAACATGGTCAAAGGATAGAAAAGAAAATGATAAATAGAGCATTTTATACAAATCTGCGCATACACAATAGAGAAGAAAAAGAGAATGTTAAGCTGGAAAACAATCCAATCATTACCATATTTCCTGTCTGTTTTGTTTGAAAATAATTGAAGTTTACTCTTATTCTCCCAATTATAAAACTTCTTAACCTGACCATTTCATTTATAAGCTATACATTAGCAACTAATTTTTTACCCTGTATTGACCATCCCTACTGAAATGCTAGAAAATACAGGTGTTTTTTTGTCCACTTTGAGGAAATTTAAATAACATGGATTCAAACCCAAATTACAGTCTCATAAGCCCTGAAGAAAGGAATGAATTTTTTTTCCACAGGTCTACAATAGAGAATGCAGAGCCTTGACAACTATGATTGGATGGGAATTTTCATCCATGGGATTTGGACCAAAGTACGATATAGAGAAATGCATATTCCCAGGACAACCAATTGACAAGATTCCAGAGTTTGGCTGTAGGCCCAGAGTCTATTCTACCATGGCAGTCAAAATATAAATACCTTTTCAGGTTCCCTCGAAATGATGAGAACCACTATAGAATCATGGGAATTTATGCATGGTTTCATATTAAATTTCCAGCCTCAATTTTTGGGTTTCCTCTTCTTCCCTTCAACTTAGCATAAGTAAAGCTCATTTGAGAAGGAAATATTATTTTATCTATAAACTAGTTATAAGCTATATGCTATACATGTAAACGTGAGATAAGCATCACACATAAATCCCAATTTCATAACAATGACTCAACATACACTTATCATCAAGGGAAGAAGAAGTAACTTTTAAGCTCATTGTTGCCAAAATCCTAGAGATAATAACTTCCTAAGCATTCATGGAAATTGTTATTTTTTTGGTAAATTCATGGAAATTGTTATTGAAGTAGTATCAGGTTTAAGAATTAACATTCATAAAAGTGAAATGTTTGCAGTGGGAGAAGGAAGAGATCTTCAGACTTTGGCGAGCTGTGTTGGGTGCAAAATTGGTAAACTGCCCACAAAATACCTAGGAATGCCTCTAGGGGAGAGATGTACCTCAAAGAAAAATATGGGATCTGGTGGTGGAGAGAATAGACAAGAAGTTGGCTCTTTGGAAGACTAAGTACTTATCAAAAGGAAGGAAGCTGATTCCAATCAAAGGTGTGATTTCCCCCTTACCAACTTACTTACTTTCACTCTTCCCAATTCTTGACGATGCAGCAAAAACAATCAAGAAGAGAATGAGAGATTTTCTATGGAAGGGGTGGAAGGAGGAATACAAAATTCACTTAGTCAACTGGACTAAGGTTTTAAACCAAGGAAAGTTGGGGGCCTAGGGGTCAGGAAATTAAGAAAATTCAACTTGGCATGCCTGGGCAAATGGTATTGGAGATGGAATGAGCAGTCCAAGAGTCTATGGAGAAGAGTGTTTTTAGCTAAATATGGTTTGACCAATTTAGACTGGGACCCAGGAGAATCCAGCTTATCCTATGGGTGCTCAGTTTGGAAAGGCATTCAGAAATCGGCATCTGATTTTAAAAAGGAAATCAAGGTTGAATGGAAGGATTGGTGGTGTGGGGAGTGCCCTCTGAAAGAAAGATTCCCAACACTGTTTGAATTAGCCCAAAATAAGGACAGCCTAGTAGCTGAGATTTACTATCATGGTAGAACTACAGGAGACTGGTGTCCCATTTTCAGAAGAAATATGAATGATTAGGAAATACCACATTGGTTGGAGTTGATGTACACCCTTAGCTCTATCAGACCAGATCTCTCCAGGGCGGATAAAAGGAACTAGCTGGGAGATCACTCAGGGATGTTCTCTGTTAACTCATTTTATAAATGCTTAAACAAAGAGAAGGGAACTTCCTTGAGCAGAGAATTTGGAAGTCAGTTGCTCCTCCTAAAGTTGCTTTTCTATTATGGACTACCACTCTTGGAAAGTGCCTGACAGCAGGCTCACTAGCAAAAAGGGGTTTGGTGGTGGAGCCAAGCAGATGTAGTTTATGCAGGGCAGCTTCAGAAAATGCAGAACATCTTTTCATTCATTGCAAACTTGCTAGCTTGATATGGGGAAAAGCCTTGGGGCTGTTTGAAGTTAACTTTTGTTTCCCAAAAGATCTGATCTCTTTGTTGGAGTGCTGGCAGCTTGAGGGTCTTTCCAAGAGAGGGAAAGTCATGCTGGCAGCTTGAGGGTCTTTCCAAGAGAAGGAAAGTCTTGTGGGAAGTGATCTCAGCAGCAGTAATTTGGTCTATTTGGTTGGAAAAAAAAAATAGGAGAATCTTTGAAAACAAGTGCAATTCGGAGGATACAATTCTAAAAAGCTTATGGGGAAGGATCTATTCTTGGTCCGCAATGCATAGACAGATAAAGGATATACCTTTCAGTTCTTTTTTTTATCATAGAAATCATTTTGTATCTAGATCAGATATGTAATCAGCTTTTGTTTTTCTCTCCCCTGTTTCAATTTCCTGTTGAGCAGGGCTCGTATATCTTTTGCTTCTTTTAATACATTACCAATTTCTCAAAAAAAAAAAAGGATTGAGACAATTGACAGAGGAAGTACCTATTCATGCTGGTTCCTTTCTCATTAAGAAGTGGCAACAAAGAATTCTTCATAGAAAAATGCCAGGTTAATGGAACTGGCCGTTTTGATGATGTCACCAATTCTGTTGTACCATGAATCTGGATAATAAGAAAAAAAACACATTAAAAGAGAATAATAACTAATAATACTAACCAATTGTTCCTTCAAAAATCTTGTAAATCTGACATACCAAAATGCAAATTCAATATTGGCATTGCTAGACACAAACATGAAATAGGCCATAAATGCTACATTAGTAATGGCCCAAACAAGTGCATGGTAAGATATTATGTAACAAATACACCTCAAATTATAAATTTCCACTGTACCAGACACCATAATGTTCGCTGCACATGGCAGAACTTTTATTCATGAGAGTCATTTATCATGTAATACCTGACATGTTAACTGTCATGTTCACTGGTGAAAGTGCTTCTAGGTTGAAGGATGTTAATCATACAATAGTGAGTAGGACTAGAGATGCACTCTCACAATTGCTTTTATATGGGTTCAACATCAATGGTGCGTGTTTTTTTCAGATTGGGGTGCTATGATAATTATACCACCTTACCCATGTAAAAGCATTGGTGTGAGACTGACAGTACAACTGTAATTCTACCCACAAGAGTAGGATTAGTATTTCTCAAGATATATATTATATATTCTTTTTTTCTGTTCATTTATTTTATTTTCTTTTTCTTCAGCAATAGATCATCAGACATAACTCCACCAAGAAATGTCAGTGTTTAGACACTTCAGTAACAGGAACTCGGAAACATTTAAGGAAGACTATTTGAATATCCACAGCATTCTTTGTTTGTTGTTTTCCCATTGCAAAGCTTCTACGATTACCTGAGAACTGAAGGGATGCCATCCAAACAAACTAACAACTTCCAGGACCAAAAATGACCGTTAAATAAGTCATTTATCGTTAGAAATAAAAAGCAACCAAAAGCTCTTTACCAACATATTATTATCATTTGAATGGACTGATGATTCAAACATTCAAACTTATTACCTTGTGAAAGAGCAGGTAACATGAATAACCAGTTACCCTGTTCCATCAAGAGCAAATATCTCATTCCATCAGGTCCAATGATCAGCTCATTTTAACAGTTTAACCAGGGAATATGTAAGGGTTAGCGAAAAGTGGGTTTATAGGAGCACACCCTCCAGGATAGATCCTGGGGAGTTTATGGGGTCTTTTTTTAGCAACAACGTCTATGAGGTCCTTTTCAGGGAACAGTGGTTGGTGTAATGGTAAGATCTTTGACTGACAAGCATCAGAATGCAGGTTCAAGTCTGGAGCATCCCCTTTGTGCCCCCCCCCCAAAAATAAATAAATAAATAAAGCCAAGGTTTAGGTATGTACCCAGTCCACCTCTCCTAAGACCCCAGATTGAATCAACATTTGGTAATGACCTTTTTTATTGTATTGTATTAGTGCATGCAAATGAACTTGCATTTTTTCTGTGCCTCTCAAGTTCCTGTCCTCAATTCTCCTAGAGGGACTCGTATGCTGTATTTTTTTAGCTTCTTACTTTTCTCTGCAATGAAAGTTTTTTGTTATAAAAAAAAAAGGTATGGTGCCCCATTTCATTCCAGATAAGCCAAACAAAGCCTAATCCATATCATGCAAGCACTATTACACTCCCTGAACTGGTATGCAGTTTTATAATCACTACATTGAACCAATACATAGATAATACCTGCCCAATCCAACCAGCCAGCTCATCAGGATTTGCCACTGTTGCTGAAAGGCATATAAGTTGAACCTCTTTTGGACAATAAATCACCTGGACTAATCTTAGTGTAATTAGACTGCTTACTAAGAACTGGGAAAGAAAAGAAAATAAAATGTCAAATAATAACCAGGATTACAAAGTGTGAACATACTATCTCTTCCCAAACTGTACCCCGAGATATGTCACTAAGATAGTGTACTTCATCCAAGACAATAACATCAACATGGAACAATCCGCTTCCTGAAGAAACCATTCCAATACTACAAAAAAGAATAACAGTAAAAAGCCATCTTAACAGTACTATGTCAACATAATGAATGAAATAAACTTTTTGAGAAAGCGACTGCATTTGAATAAATTAACATTATAAACATCAGAATACAAGTAAAGTTGCTGCTACGGTGGCTTTGTGCCACTAAAAAGGGAAAAAGGTCTTATTTCCAGATAATGTAAAGTAAATAGAATCTTGTAAACCTCTAGCCCAAGGTTACATTAACCTGCTCGCAAAGCTCTAGCCTCTAGCACAAAATTGCATTTACTTGCTTGTAAATCTCTAATATAAAACTGCATTGCAATAGAACATTGTAAAAACTTAAAATTTCAGATCCTTTCAACTAATAAGTGTTTATATACTCATTGGTTTTATGACTAATTGTCTTAGCTTACCCAAGAGCTAGATAACTATAAAATACAATCCACTAAGTTGAACTAACTAATAAATTATCAATTCCGATAAGAAACTATTAAAAGATGTACCTCTGATATAGCATATTGCGCAGAATTTCTGTCGTCATAATTAAAACCTGAGCATCTTTGTTAACTGCAGAATCTCCCGTGAGAAGACCAACATTGCTTTCACCAAACGTCTCGCTGAAATGACGGACACATCAAAATGATTTCTCTCAATTCTTTGTGACTCTTAATTTGGCACATCACAAGCTGATTAATTTGAAATACTCTACAGTCTTATGTGCAACGGCTAATTCAACAATTCCGTTTACTGCATACCGGAATTCTCGGTACTTCTGATTGGATAAGGCTTTCAACGGCGTTGTGTAAAAGAGTCTCCTTCCCCTAGCTACTGTGGCTGCTGCTGCAGCTTCTGCAATCAAAGTCTTCCCACTGCTTGTCGGTGCAGAAACCACAACTGATGAGCCTCTCAAAAATGCCTGTATAGCCAACCTCTGCACAAAGTTTATAACACTTATTGGCCTTAAATTTCAAAAACAAAAAGGGGGAAATTAAACATGCTTTGTGGGAATGCAAAAATAGAAGCATGAAACAAGAAAATACCTGAAATTTATCTATTCGGAAGTCGTAAATAGAAGCGAGTTCATCCAAATCGATAATTCCCTCTCCGAACTCTCGGACTTCTGACCGGAGCCTCTCAACTCTCTGCCATTTGTGCTCTTCGAAACGGGGCGACGTCGTTGGGATGGTCGAACTGGCGGTGTCTTCCACTGGTTCGTCTTCATCGGAGACGTCGACAGCGAATTCTTCATGTTCATCTGCGGCTTCGTCGTCTTCGTCATCTTCGTCGTCTGCGTCCGACAGTTGATTATCTACGGGGAAAGATGACCGCAGAGAATTACGGAGTGGAAGAAAGAGAGTTGGACCTGTATTTGATGTGCGAACTGTTTGGGGACAAAGAAACCCTAATTTGCGAGTGCTGTTGTTGTGGGGATGAAGAAAAAGAGTAGCTTTGTGATTGAAAATGAGAGGGAAAAGGTGAGAGAAGTCTGAAGGATAGGAACACAGTGCAAGAGTCCGCATGGCGGGAATACTGCCATGGATTAGCATGCTTCCAGCCTTCCAGACCATATCTTCTACATGGGTAATGAACTTAGACCAGTCCACCCGGTCGATCCACAAAACCCGGGTGAACTCAATGTGGCTACAAATAAACCCATTACCTAAACCTATGAACCCAAATTTGCATTGGGTTTTCCCACAGTACGCGCCCCAATCCCCACTACACATCCTAACCGTGTATTGAAAACATCAAGTCCGGATCTGGTCCTCGTAATGCACGCCTCACACCGTCTTTACAATATGTCTTTACCGTATATTGGGAGCATCTCCCGTTCTTAAGGTGGTATTTGGTAGTGTGTATTAAAATATGGTGTCCTGCTATGTATGGATAGTCCCCATCCACAAGATAGCATGGACGGGGACGGGTTATACACCAATTTATCGTCTACAATATTTTCTCGTTAATATTCTACACTATGGTGTGGACAGTTTGTGGAAAGGTTTCAACGTAATGCACATGTATTACATTTGTGTTACATTGGTCCAATTACTTTAATTTTAATAAATTTTAAACTTTTTATTTTTAATATTTTATCAATAAAATAATAATTTTTAATGTTAATTCTAACACAAATACGATGATTCTCCTTTTCAATTATTTTTTCATTATTTAAATATTAATTTTCAATATTTTTGTCAACAAATAATATTTTTTAATTATTTAAAAAATACAATTGTTATCTAAATATTAATACATTTTTTCAATTTATTTATTTAGAAAAAATAAACATTATTTATGATAGATTATAAATCTCCCATGAAATATATATAAAATACCCACAACACAGTTGCACATCAATAATTTCCCGTATAATGATTATGAGAGATGTTCCTAGTGCTACAGCTGCACATCAATAACATTTCCCGTAAAATGATTCATGACTAACATGCCATGTGCCATTATAGCATCTTGTGAATAATGCATATGAATGGGTCAAAATCCTCTACGGGCTAATGATATCATGAGAAATGATCCTCTACTACTGTATTCCCCAAAATGGACGAGGGGTTTGATTGTTTAAACTTCATATATTGTCATGTCATGTTATATCATGTTCGGTATTGCTGATGAATTATTTCTCCACTATGGGTGAAAAAAACAGTGGATGACAAATCAAAACAATTGACACGGGAACAATGGAATAGATGATCTGGAGTGGGAATACCGAAATTATATATTCGGATTTTTTTAAGGAAAAGGAGAAATTCATGAAGTAGTATCAAGGCATGTAGGAGGGGTTCGGATATGGTCCTTCAATTGCCTCCAAAGGTCAAAGGTCTTGATGTACATATTTTCAATTTTATAATTTAAGTTTTAATTTCTTTAAAAAAAAAGGAAATAAATTCATTACTCGATTCATAAAATCTATGTAAAAATACAAAGTAGGGTGATCAGAACTAATCAGCATCGAGGCCGACGACCCGTAAGCACGCAAGTGTAGAGACAGTTTCTCCAAGCTCGTCATCAATCACGATCAATAATAAAAATCCCAATAAAATATTTGTCAATTCCTTAACCCGTTTCATATATATACATTAATGGGAACTCGTGTGATGTATGGACTTTCTTAAGTGAAAAGTTAAACAATAGAAATATATAGGAGTACATAATTGTTTTATATTTTAATTTTTTAAAATTAATCTGATCGAATTCAATCCGAGTTAGTCGGTTTTTAGTATTTCTGATCAGCTTTGGTTTAGCAAATTTCCAACTTTACCAAGTTAGGTCAGTTTCGATTTGGCTATTAGTAATCAACTAAAACTGAATTGACTCGACCATAGATATATATTAATATTTTATATTTTAAATACAAATTTTAATATGAAAAAGTGGGAAACTCCCATTATTCTTAGTCTAAAATATTTATATCATAAATTTAATTTTTTAATGATACCACTATAATTCATTAAATTTAAATTTAATTTTTAAGTTTAAATCTTTTGAACAAACAAACCAAACTGAAAATAGACCCAAACTAATACACCCGGGTTTGCAAGTTTCTCCAAGCTCATTATCAATCACACTCAATAATAAAAATCCCAATAAAATATTTGTCAATTCTTTAACCCATTTCATATATATACATTAACGGGAACTCGTGTGATGTATGGGCTTTTTTAAGTGAAAGTTAAACAATAGAAATATATAGGAATACATAATTGTTTTATATTTTAATTTTTTAATAATTAATCCGATCGAATTCGATCCGAGTTGGTCGGTTTTTAGTATTTCTGATCAGTCTTGATTTAGCAATTTTCCAACTTGACCAAGTTAGGTCGGTTTCGATTTGGCTATTAGTTATCAACTAAAACTGAACTGACTCGACCATAGATATATATTAATATTTTATATTTTAATATGAAAAAGTGGGAAACTCCCATTATTCATAGTCTAAAATATTTATATCATAAATTTAATTTTTTAATAATACCACTATAATTCATTAAATTTAAATTTAATTTTTAAGTTTGAATCTTGTAAACAAACAAACCAAACTGAAAAAGACCCAAACTGATATAACCCGAGTTTGCAAGTTTTCAGTAGTGGTCAATCATTTTGGGTGACAAATTTTTTACCTAACTAGGTCAATTTGATTCGCGAAATAGCCTACAATCGAATTGAACCAATCCTTGAACACTCTTAATTTCAGCTAAATTAATAGTTTAATCTCTAATAAATAATAATAGTTTAATCTCCTATGACTATTGAAAATTTATAAAAAAAATACAATTAGTAAAAATAAATTTCTAATGAAAATACAATAGATATCTAATAAAATACAATAATTACAAATATACAATAAATATCAATCAATAAATTATAAAAATAATAGTTTAATATATAATAAATATCAATCAATAAATTATAAAAAATACATAATTACCAAAAATAAATTTATAACAAAAATATAATAAATATGATAAATTAAACTTCAAAAGTTAAATAATAGTTGTTTAATCTCTAGTAATTATTGGTACTTTACTGTTAAATAACAAAACAAACATAGATTTATAACTAATTATTGAAAACATATTTATAAAAATATAATAAATAATTACTAAAATAAAATAACCATTAATTTTAGTATATATAATGAATGTACACTATTATTGTAAAATTATTACTAATAAATATTATGATTTGAATTCCATAATTATTAATTGATATAAGTGAAAATAGTTATTTACAAGATTATTTAGTTATTTAAATAATATTGTTATTTAAAATTTTAAAATATTAATTACTTATTGAATTTAATAATCCGTAAAATTATAACTAGTACTATCATTACATAATTGGTCATTAATTTTGTAAAAATAATAAATTATTATTAATATGAAAAATATGAAATCTATTATAATTATTTTTCTACTTTTAATATTTTTTTTAAATTTATTACATAATTTTGTTATTTTAACTATTTAAAATTTAGTCATGTTATGTTTCGTTATTTAAATATTTCAATACTGTGTAAATGATTTAAAAATTTCCATTCATTGAGTCTTATTTATTTTAATGTTATTATGTAATATTAAATATTTTGTTATATAAAAAATTATCTATTTTTAATGTTTTGTTATTTAATATATTTAGTTATTGGGATATTTAAATACTTTTTTTTATTTTTTAATGTTAAATTTTTATTATTTGAATAACATTTAGATTGAATAATTCATATAATTATAATTTATATTGTTACTACATAATTCCATGGTGAATTTTGTAAAAATATGGAACTATTAATAATATGAATATTATTAAATATATTGTAATTATTTTATGTGTTTTGAATAAACATTTTAAAGTTAGTATATAATTTCGTTATAATATTTAAATAATTCTGAAATTTTTTAATTTTAACTTTCTTTAGATGGATGTATATAAGAAGTGGGGGAGATGATAAATAGGAATTATAAACAATTTAGAGAAAGTGGGGGAAAGTGGTACCACTTGGCTAAACATTGAGGCTATGTTTGGTTTGAGGGAAAAAGTAGGGAAAGGTAGGGACAAGTTTTGTAAAGGTTTCCCTACCTTTTCCGTCATTTCCCTACTTTTTTCTTCAAACTAAACACATCCTAAAAGATCAAATCCCTCTCTATTTATGGTTGTTGGAAATAGTTAAGACCATATTATTTTAGTATTAGTTTAATGGGTAATTATGTTGAATTAAGAAATAAAAAATTCAAAAAAATGAAATTAAGAAGGGGGTTTGAAGAAATAAGAGACATAGTGATGTGGACCATCTTGCTATATATATAGAGAGAGAGAGAGAGATAGTTGGCAACAGTAGAAACCTAAAATCGTTACATTCCAATTGAACTCATTATCAACCATCATCTCATGATTAAACTTTAGCAGTAAAGTTTTCAATATAAATGGTTAGTTTTCGTTTGGAAAGAGTACAAGTAGGGTGTAAAATGTAAATACAAATATGTAGATTACATTTTGGTTCATGTAAAATGTAAATGTAAAGTTTGTTTATTTTTGCATTAATAAATTTAATTTTTGTCAAAGAATTTTTAGTTGTAAGAGGTATAAACACGAACCCCAAGACTAGAATATATCCTTTTTACATTGATTAACTTTGAGTCCAAAGGCTTACATCATTTTTCTTTTTCAAATGCATTTTTACCAAACACCAACAAACCGAATCAGAGTGTATATATGCACTAACCTGACATTTGCACCCTTCCCAAACAAATCCTGGTTTTTAAAGCAAGAAAAAGAAGATATGGTGGGAGATGAGAGACAATTATTTACAGAAAAAATTAATAATAATTACAAAATGTTAGGCTTTATTAGTGATTTTAGCTCATCATTGCAGCATCTTCCCTTTACTTATAATAATTAAGAGGCTGTTCTAAAACATGAATGTTTATAAAAGGGTAAATTTGAATAATAGTACCTTGTACTTTGGGACTCCCACTTTAGTATCCAAATTTTAAAATGTGCCACTGTAATACTTGAACCCTCGAAAATTGCCAATTTATAGTTATCACGTGACTTATTTTTTAATGCCAATAATACCACTTTTAATATTTATAAGACAAATTTATCTTGATTGTCTTCCATGGTGATGGCAAGAATTATTCATCTTCTCTGACAACAACGACAGCCAATTGTTATGTATTGAACAACCGAATAAAAGGGATTACAACGACAATGGTCTATATCCCTCTTCTCCAATGACTTTTTTTGTGCAACTTCTTCGACAGGAAGCATTGGTTATTCAACATAAAAACCAGGGCATAAAGATTTATGCTTCTCTTGCTTATCCAAAACTCGAAAGGGTAATTGTGTCATTTCACATGCCACCCAATGTTTTCAAGAATTCGGTACTACAATGACACTTTTGGAAGGTTGGGTATTAAAGTGGGACTAGCCCCAAAGTACAAGGTGCTAATTCTGCAATTTACCCCCAAAAAAGCACATGTCCTTAATTTTGTTTTATTTTCAATGGAAAATCAACTAATGCCTTGGAAACCACCCAAATATTTGTTTTTAAAACAAATTCTATAGTATAGAGATTATATGGTTTATTGAGACTAATATTGAATAATCGAATGAAAGCATGCTTTAGAAACCAATAATATGTATTTGGTTTTTGTTTTGCAAATAGATAACACATACAAAACCAATAACATGTTTTTTGTTCCTATGTATTTTATATTTTGAGAAGCAATCTATTTCCAGACCATATATGTTTTTGATTTGTTTTCTGAACAAATAAACAAACAAGAAAAGCAATTCATGTTGCATAATGCCCCCTAAAAGTATGTTCAGAATCTATTTCCAATTTGGAGGCAGTTTGGTCCAATTCTTATAGCTTGGTTTTGGCTCATTCAGCTGAGTCTGGTTTCTATACGACGTGATCCCCACTTGACTTGGCTTAATTAATTGAGAAAAAAACTTAGCACTGTGTTGAGAGAGAAACGGAAATTTGGAGGGAAAGTTGTTGACAAAATTTATTAAGAAGTTTCCGCTAATTTTCTTTTGTCGTTCATTTTATTGGTTGGTATTAAGTAGAGCTGCAAATGGTATCTGATTGTCTAATTTTGCAAATGGTAATTGAAAGACCAATTCCATGAGCTAGCATATTTTGTTGTCTATTTACATGCTTAATTGTGCATATATCAAAAGACTTTGTAAGATAGTAGAATTCATATGAATACAACTTACAGACCCAGTTACAATTTACAGTATTGCTATGTATCGTGTAGACTCCCATGGCATCACAAAAAATAGTGATGACATTGATATTTCTTCATTTGCTTCATGAAGCCCTCTAAGAAATGCCATCCATTTAGCTTCACCTGGATCCTGTACTTGCACTATACTACCTGCAGCTGCCATCACCCCCTCTTATCATTGTAGAGATGAACATAAGCACTCGCTGCTCGATGAGAATAATAAGAGAAAACACCATCTGTATACAAGGTATAAGGTGACATAGATTGCCCTTTTCTCCTGAATTTGTAAAAATGGGGGATTCTCTAGTGAAACAATGTACATTGTTGTGAGTAGTTTTAACTACCCATATTGGATCAAGACAAATACTTTAATGTATTTTATTGTTTCTGATATCTCATATACATTTCAAGTCCATTTAACCACTTTTCAAATGTGATCATGAATGGGAGGTGCTTTCATAGTAGAGAGACAAAAATTCAATTGTAAACAACACCAATCTGCCCTTTGCAAAAGAGTTGCGGCTTTGATTCCTGCTCTTTTTGGCATAAAACACACAAAACCTATCTTCATTATTTACAAAAAAACAACTTGTCTTTTGTGAATATATTAAATAATCATAGGTTCAAGTTTCACACAAATAATTTTCAATTGATTTGTTTATAAAATAAAGTAACAAAGTAATTTTTAGTTCATTTTATTATAACTATATAAATATTTTGATAAATTTTAGCTTAATTTATTATCCAATTTCAACCCATCAGTCCCTTACAAATCCAATCGATAATATTCCATTTGTTTTTCACTACAAATAAATTAGTTTAGATATAACCATATCTGTTTTCAAACAATTAAACGAATAAATCCATAAGAAACAATAAAATTATGAAGAAACAGTGGAATTCAGAAATCTGGAGTGGTGTGTAGTGTATTTTTTATTATACTTTTTTAAATCTCTCAACTCAGAGTCAAAATATTAGATTTGGTTCAACTATTCAAGTGTACGAACAACCACCATTTAAGAAAGATGACAAGACATTTTTTTAATAGTAATTCGTACTTCTTTGAAATCTTTGAAATGATTAGATTTAACAATTAAAATATTTTAACAATCATAATTTAAAAAATGAAAAGGCATTTAGGTTTTGAAAATATGTTAATCATACTTTAGATGTCTTAACTCAAGGATCTATTTAAAATCTAATTAACTATATGTAAAAATATAAAATATTTAATAATTACATATATATATATATATATATATATATATTCAGGCCCAGACCCGATCGGGCCTGAATAAGCCCCAAGTTCGGATTTCCGGACTGGGATGAAAATCAGAAAATGTGTCGGTTTTAAATTTTAAATTTTGTTCCATGTCGAACCAAACCCGTTGGCATCCATATGGACAATATCCATATCAAACGGGTTTTGGGTGACTCCGTAGTTTAATCAGAATTTAAGGGCATAGTCGTAACTACAGCGTTATATATGCAGATAGGTCCGGGGTTTTACTCAGAGAGAGCGAGCTTCATCATAGCTTGGCGAGCGCATTGCACATTTCAGGGGTTCTCGTTCGTTATCCACTATATCCCTCCATATCTCTCGTCTATTCTCCTTTTTGAGGTTTTATCTCATCTGAATTTAGGGTTTTTGGGAAATCAATTGTTGCGCGCGATTAGTGGAAGCCATGGTTTTGGATTCGATGATGAACGGTTCAGTTACTGCGTTGTCGAAGGATTTGGCAAAGAAAAAGAGGGTAAATAATCAATCTTGGTTTCTCTATAGTTATATATGTTTATGCAATTATAATTGTAATTGCAAGTTCTGCTTTTAGCAATTCTTCCTAATTTTATTTGCTTTTGGTTGTTCAGACCAACAGGACTGCGAAATTGAAGCAATGCAAACTTGATGCCAGACGCGAGCAATGGCTTTCTCAAGGTATGGGATAGATATTTTCTCAATGCATATTCATTCTTTTGTGTAACATGTTTGGAGAGTTCAAAGGTTCTTCTTTCTTTCTCTTTGTTTTGTTCTTCTCATTTTATCTTTCAGATTATACGTTGTGTTTTTATTTTTTATTTAAATAAACATGGACGAGTGGAATTTTAATGCAGTCCAGAACAAGGGATCCAAGGAGGAATCGAATGGTGGAGATGGATCTCCTCCATCCTCGTTGCTTCTGACCGATGACCGGAATTCGTACCTAGAGAATTTGGACACGAGGTCAAGAGGTGAGGAGAACGAAGGATCAAGCTTTCATGACAGCGATTTGGATTATGTGGCAAACGGTCTCACTGGTAGTACCTTGGAAGCTAATGACTCGGGGAAGGATCGTCCTGGTAGCAGCAGCGGATGTTGCTCTGGAAATGTCAGCGAAGAAGAGGAGGATGACTGGGAAGCCGTTGCCGATGCCTTGACGGCAGAAGACAAGCAGCAACACCCGACTACAGAACTTCCAGCTCAACTTGATAGCCCAACTAGATCAACTGCTCCACGTGAATTGGTCAATAAGACCTGTGAAGTGGGCCCTTTAAAACCGCAATCTAAGGAAATGGTCCCTAGGTGTGTGCCGAATGGTCGTGCATGGAGGCCTGATGATGCTTTCCGTCCGCAGAGTCTGCCCAATCTCTCCAAGCAGCATAGTTTTCCCATGTACTCGGACCGGCATTGTGGTCATGGAGCCATCAACTGGGCCTGCCACAATATTATGTCGCAGCCCTCCTCGTGTCCTATCTGCTACGAAGATTTGGATCTTACAGACTCGAGTTTTCTGCCATGTTCATGTGGATTCCGTCTCTGTCTATTCTGTCACAAGAGGATTCTCGAGGCTGATGGGCGTTGTCCCGGTTGCAGGAAGCAGTACGGTCCTATAAACGAGGAGATGGGTGTAAATGGAGGTGCTCTGCCATTACGGTTGGGTCGTTCTTGCAGTATGAATACAAGGTCTTAGGGAGAAATCTTTCTTTTCTTTGAACATGATGTATGCGGGACTTCTCTTTCTTTTCTAGTGTGTCTTGCGTGGTCTGTTCACCAGTAGAATAGAGCTCTGGTTTTCCTCGAGAAAAATGTGAATACAGGATAAGGATGTGAAACACTTCGGGAACTGAACTGGATATTTTATGAGTTCAATTCTTACATTGTATGTTGCATATGCTAATGTAGAAGATTATGTGGGTAGTTGGGTATGTGAATACATAAGGTGGACGGATACTGAAAACATCAAGAATTCTGGTACAATATATTGCTTTGGTTTCCTTTGTGAATATTTGTTGACCTGATATTTGTGATCCTGAACCTCGGATTATCCTTCAACTATAAAAGCATTTGATATAACTATAGTTTTTATTTCACTGATATATGGAGCGTTCAACTGTATTATCATTGATTCTGCTTTTGGGAACTCGTTTTTAAAATGAATGAACTTGCATCTTGTATTGATGAATCTCTTATTTCGTTGTTGGGGATAATTATTTGCTTTATTGTGGCTTTGTGTTCTTACAATGTTTTTCCATGCTCAATTTTTCATCAAATGCTTGTCAGATACTTTGCTTAATATGCTTGTGCAACTTTGTACTTGCAAAAAGTGGTACTTTTGCAATTTGATGCTGGCATGTTGTGCAAGGACTTCAATTTGTTTTTAATAAGCCATATTTAATTCCCGTTGGAATTGTATGGAAGGCTAACCTGCTTTTTTACCCTAAGCTGAAAAATAAGAAGATTGATCACTTTCTTGCAGTTTTCTTGTTTTTTTTTCTCTAATTGATCAAATGTGTTACATTGGTGGTATGTTTCAGGATTCTGCTCTGGAAATTAAAATTATGGGGAGCATTAAAACATCTGCACAATGATGGTTGTATTTTTCTGTTCTATCTTCTTTTTTCCCTGTCCTGGAAATAGCATTCAATTAGATTTAATCTTTTGTATGTTGTTACTTGTGATTACAAAGAGTTTATTTGTTCTGATTAGGGCTGCTAACAGTATTTATTTGTCCAATATGGAAATGGAATGTGATCTGATGAAGGTGATCCAATCATCCAAATTTGATCCTTTTGTGATTGGATTGAATTTGGATCCTCTTTGATCCAATGTGATCTGAGTAAGTCAATTTGTTCATGATATACAATATCAAAGTCATTTTGACTTCATTTTATTAATAATATATAATATACTGATCAGTTTTAGTTTAATTTATTAATGGTATTCAATATTGAAATCCAATCTGAATCTGATATGAATCCAACAGTTAAGATTCAATTCAAATTCGGATTTTAATGATGAAATCTACATTTAGGTATAACCATTTTGATCCTGTCCATTTGTAGCCCTAATTGTCATGCAATATGCTACTGCTTCTGCTGCTGTTTTTGGAATAAGGGGTTGTTTGCCAATAAGAATGATTTTTTTTCCCAAAACAAAAATAACTGCGATGTCAGGAAAATCAATTGAAAAAACATTCTTGCTGGGGAAACCCCCCCTTAAATACTTTATTCTGCATAGGATTCTGTACTACTATACTATTTCTTTTTCTGATGCATTGATAGCAAGTTTACATGATGCCAACTTATGGCTCTTTTGTTTTTGTTTGTTGTATCAGCTATAAGTTTACATGTTTTCCATCATTATTTTGGTAGTAAGTGATATCATAAAAAAGGTACTTATATTCTTTCCTGTGGAAAAAAGGCACTTCATGGATGTGGGTGTTTGTCTGTAGCATATCAGGGTTCTGAGAACAAATTACTGAATCAGCTGTTTAGACCAACAGGTAGTGTTATTCCAATTTGCAAAGTAAAATGCATATTTCTATTCAAATTGTAAGAGAACATTATCAAGTAAAATGATCCCTGTGGCCTGTACAACAAGAAGCTGCTTAAGGGTTATGATATGCTCTTCAAAGGAAAAATAGTTTACTAGTTTATATGGTCAATAGTTTACTAAGAGAGCACCACGCTAGTTGCTCATCTCAGCAATGCATTCATGTGTTGTTTCTTTCCCACTGCAGTTCAATAATTGGTAGTGAGAGAAAGACAAAAGATGTTCCCCGTATAATTACAGCTCGGTATATGAGGTGGAGAGGTGCATTTTGAATGTCCTGTATTCGGCGAATACCAATCAGATTGAAACTATTACCCAAAAAAATCAGATTGAAACTAGACATTTATGGGATATTTTTCCCTTTAAAGAAAATGGTAAAATAAGGAATTATATTATATAGAAAAAGGATAATAGTCAGTTACAAGCATAAGCCACTACAAGATGGATCTCAATGATCTCTTGGAATAAAAAAAAAATACATTGTGCAATTGCAGAACACATTTCTTAACTCACTGTATTTTGGTCCATGAGAACACCATTTGAATTACCTTCCTCAGAACCATCCCTTCAAATTTAAGTAATTGAATTTTGAATCTTTTACACTCAATATGTCAAAGATAAACAAAACTCTAGATTGTTTTCCCTTTTTTGGTTAGACCCCTCATGGGTTGCCATTTAAAACCATCAATGATGGATGCTGCAAAGCACTAAATTGCTTTTAAACACATCCAAGGAAATGTCTCCACAGGAATTTGCCAGACCTAGAGAGTAAGAAAGGGTTGACAACCATTCTATGTTTTGTGGAACATAAGATGCACGTGTCATTTGGTTATGCACATCTCTATCTCAGTTTGCCACAACTCATAAAAGCAACTTTTGATGGAATCAGTGATCATCATATTTAATTACTAGGAGAGGTCCTCAGGTTCAATTATAGAGATTGGGGAACTGCTTTATGGGGTCTGAAAACAATATCCTGGAATCAGCTTTTTTGGTATTGGAATGTGGCTGTGTGGCTTTAGAAACATGGATGTGATCATGTCCACCTTCCGACCAACAATACCCCAGAGTTAGCTTGATTGTGTTTTGAGGGTGTTTGTGCAGCTCTATAATCATAAATATGATCATATCTACCTTCCAATCATTTAGATTATTATGTCTTGACCATTGGGACTTTTAGGGGTTCTTTGTGGCAATGAGGGGAATACAGCTTTATAATGGGGTCATCGATAGTGCTAAAACTTGCCTCTCTTTCCCTCTCCAAGTTTTTATGATACACCATTGATGAATGTAGGATATGTTTATTATCAACTAGATGCTTTTGCATAATGAGCAGCCAACTGATATAAGAGCTCTACTTGGAATTTAAGTAGGAAGGTTAGAAAATGTGCTTATTAGGAAGAGATTTCAATAATGCCGAAAAGGTATGGTATAGCCATATGGGAAGAACTTTCACCTATTCAGAACCCCTCATGAATTTTGTTGAACACCAGTTGATTGGTTTTCACTTCTATGATGCCGATTGATTGGTTATCAGTCTTTTAGGTACCATGCCTTTTTGGTATCACAGTTGGGACTCTTCTTAGGATTGCGATTTTGGTGCCCTTTGAGAGATATTTTGTCTTCTAAGATATTAGTTTGTTGTCAAAATGTTAGTGCTGTATGAGCCAAGGTTCAAAGTATCGACACAGGCAGATACGCTGGTAGGGTGTATCGGCCTGTATCGGTACTTTTTTTTAGGTTTTATTTATTATTTTTTCAAAGCCGGTTCAGAGGGGTCGATTTAAGGCCCGACTACCCTCTGAACCATGGTCTGACCCGATACAACCCCTGGAGGGGTGTATCGGGAAGCCATCGATACGATACGTATTGGCTGATACAGGCCGATATGTGTCGATACTTTGAACCTTGGTATGAGCAGTGTCTTTGTCATTGAAGAAGCAATACATCCATGAGATGAGTATACCAGAGATGGGGATATTAAGATGGATGAGTTGCAATATTAGAAATGAGTGCATTCTTGTAAATCTAGAAGCAATTTCGATTTGGAAAAAACAAGGGAAGGTACATTAAGATGGTTCAGGCATGTTCATAGTGTTTTTTGGATGCAATAATTAGAACTTTGAAATAGCTCTTAGATTTAAAAATGAAGGTAGACTGAAATAGTTTTGATTATGTGCATAGAAAATCACCTGTTGCAATGTCAAGGAGCGATGTGATGCAAGTTGATGATTCTAAAGGAGCTAGGGTAGTGTCTAAAGACATGGGTTGAGGTAGTGAATAAAAATATGAGGACTTGCAATACAGGAATGATCTTTAATAAAGTAGAATGGTGAACCAACAATGCAGTATGAGACTTGTGATGTTGAAATGTAGATCTGATATGTAGAGACAATACTAAGTTAGATTTTAAAGAAATCTATATAATACGAAAATAAACTTAAAAAATCTAACATAGTATTGTATAATAAGAAAAAAAACTTAAAATCTATGTTTCCTTTGCTAGTTACCTTACCTGTTCATAAGAAAAAAAAAAAAAAACAAAAAACTAGTTACCTTACAAAAGTTTTCTCCCTGTTTCATATGATAAATATTTACTTATTACAAGATAATTATTGACTTCTAAAAAGCTTCTAAAGGTTTCCCAAGAACTTCAAATGTTTCCTAAGATCTCTGAACTTGACAGCAAACCAAGGTTCAAAATGTTGTTAGTCCAATATGTTGGTAGGGGCGTATCGGACTGTATTGCATATCGCTCCCCCTTTTTTTAGTTTTTTTTTTCAACCTGGTTCAGAGGGGTCGGTTTAACCCGTCAACCCCGAAACACCCCTTGGAGAGGCATATCAGGAAGCTCCCGATACAATACGTATCGGCAGATACGGCCTGATACGTATCGAAATTTTGAACCTTGCAGCAAACAACAAATAAAATCTCTAGTTAATATCAAGAAATTCAATAGATAAGCAAATCCATAGATTTCAGGATAGGTGGCCAAAGCCCAAACTTTTGGGTTTGTTTTACTCTGGCCCTTTGGAACTCATTCGAGGTTCCCTAGTATAGTCCTTGACCAAGGCATTATCATTGCTTTCCTTTTCTCAACTTTAGGCTCTGCATCCAATAGGATTCATGAAAGAGGCTATGTTGTGTGTGTGTGTGTGTTTGTTAGCCAGTCTCCCAACTTGAGGAGCCTTCCTTAGTTCTTGGAGGGATTCATCTTGATCATTGTAGAATTTCTCAGTCTTGTAGTTATTTCTTGATTGTGAAGTAACTTTTGATCTTTTGCCTACTTGACATTCTCTCATGTTCTATGCTTTTATAACAGGGTCTGCTTCCATGGCAAGGACAATCCATCATGTTGCTTTTGGTGTGACTGATATTTTAGTTTCTCTTTATGGTCATGGTTAGCACATTGCCAACTTAATACTAGTTTATGGTAACATGCAGCTGTCCTTGAAAGAGCATCCTACACCATGCAAAAAATCTTCCTACTTTTCTAGGGAAAATGTTCCAAGGTCCAAATATGTTTCTTTTGATTGATAACTGAAAAAATTTATTAAGTGTATCAGAACTGTACAATTTGTTTACACAATTGTGTGTTCTATATACATGGAGCTAGTCTATACTCTCCCCACAGCTCCACTTAGAGCCCCCTAAGACCCAAATCAGACTTTCCTTAATGCACATGATATTCTCCCCACATCAGGGCCTGTCATTCATGGGCTTGTAAATTAACAACTGTTTTAGCATACTGAGGCACTCAAAGCCAGCTCCAATCATCCTGCTCCCTTGATCTGATCTCTCCATGACCCAGCTACTTCACCTTTCAGCAGGATATAATGGTCTTAGGATTCCCTTAAACAATCAGATTACAAATACTGGAGTAAGTTGCCAATTTCAGTCTTTTAAGTACAGTTTGTAATTCTGCTTGTGTGGAGTTCCCACTTTCCAGTTTCTATTGGCCCAGAGAATGCCAATTGGATGTCCCTGTTGAAATTTCTAAAGGTGTCACCTATACGTGAATGAGCAGGATTCCTAAGAGTGCAGCCCTCACAGTTCATCTTGATTCTGTTTTCATCTTGGACGTTGGACCACCATCTGATTGATTTTTTTTTTTTTCATTCTTTTGCTGTTTTCCTTTGTTTTTTTTTGTGAATCTCTACAATAGTCCATTTTTTTTTCAATGTTAATAGAAGAGGTTTTGCTAAGAAACAGAGGGTATTGGGGAATATATAATGGCCTTAATGTCCAAAAGAACAACAACAATAAAAGACTTGAAGTCCTGCTCCAGAAAATAATACATTATAAAATTAACTGCACTGAACAAACAAACTGCTTTGGTTTGGAAGGCTTTACTACTCAATCAATGCTCCAACTTTAGCAAGCCTGCTTGAAATTGAATTAGCTGGCCTAGGAATCCAAACTAGGTGGGGTGACACAATTTTTTTTGATAGGAGCACAATCTCTGAGGCACATGAATGTAACCTCTCATCCACTCTAGCAATCTTACTTCCATTACCACCTCAAAAAGGAAGTTAGGATCTCTCTGACACTGTTTTTGAAACTCCAAAGGCCTTGGATTTCCAAATTAACAATCAGAAAGTCCAACTTGATGTTTAACTGCAGTGTGAGACCAGACAATATTAAACTTCTTAAGATGAGGATGGGATGTTGATAATTTGATGTTCATGTGAAGGCCACTTGTCTCTCACCTCCACAATCATAACCTAATGGTCTGTGACTCTAATTCTGAGCTGAGTAATCCCTATTTTTGAAGATCTTGGCATTTCTCTCGACCAAATACCCCAAAATAATTGAATCCATATCTGCTACCCACAAGCCCGTATTTCTTCCAACATGATCTATAGCCGTATTGCTTCCAACATGATCTATAGCCGTATTGCTTCCAACAAGATCTATAGCCACACATCCTCAAACATGATTGCCATCTCCACAGTATGACTCCATTGTTGGCAACATACACCTACACGCTTGAGATGTGCGACTATAAGATCATGTTGGAATAAAAAAAGATACATGGAAAAGTTTCTATTGGCCCAAAGACTCTCGGCTCTTAATATTTTGTTAAGATTGCATGTGGACCTGCCTCCCACTTTGTGCCAATGAGGTAAGATAATTTTGTTTGATTCTGATATTATGTTATGTAATTCTGGTTTTCTGTAGTATGTTCACCTTTTTTAGTCATGAAGTGCTTAATTTTATGGGTCTTTTGGAAATATGCTTAATTATACTTGATTTAATTTTATATGCCCAATTTTGTAGTTTGTATTATTTAATGTGTTATTATATATAAGTTTTATAATGTTTTCACTTATTTTCTTTGCCATTTAGAGGGTCTTTCTTGCATGATATGAATTGCTTCGTTTTTCATTCTTTTTATTAGCTTTTCTCCCATTATGACCATTTATGCTGCAAATGTTTGCTATTATTATGTCGCTGACAGATTGAATCAGTCTTAAGTTTTCATTCTATCTGTGTATAAAAATTAGAAAAAACCAAATAATACAAATAATCACAAGTAAATTATATTGAATGTTTAGTGTCTTAAACAAAACCTAGTCTTTGAGTTACGGTATTTCCTATGTTTTTTTTTTTCAGTCTTATTTTAGATTTTTTATTTACAATCATCCCAAAGAGAATTTTCTGGATTACTCTTAACCCAAAATCCTACTGGACATTTTTCTTGCTACCAAAATGCTATTAGACATTATGGTGCCAGGTTTTTATATTATGTTCCTTTCGTTCATTTTTGGGTCATGTGGCAGTGGGGGGAATACCACAGACATGGACCGATATAGGTCGACTGTTAAATGATGACTAATTTCGTTTGAATGCACTTGTACGAGTATGGAAAGGATGGCTGGGTATTTGAATACTTGTTTGACTTGGTTTTTTGATATTTCTTTGGTGCCATTTTTATGTCCTTTTTTGTTTCCTGTTTTTGGTTTTGTATTACGGCGGGAAGATGTATGTGGAATACCACAGATTACTGTTAAAAGATGTAGCTAAAATACTTGAATTTGGATATTTGTTTTACTCTTGTAATGCAATATCTATTTCACCTGTTGTCCTTTCTGCTATTTTGATCTCTGTTTTCTTTTAGGGATGAAGAAGGGAGATTGGAGGAAAGATGACCATTGGCCTAAGCCATGGAAGGTAGAAGATGGTGATAAGCAATCTTTTTTGGGTCCATAATTGCTGAAAGTATTTTGGTTATTGTTCGACATTACCTTTTAGGCTTCTCTTTTCATTTGCCAAACACTTGAACCTGTAATTCCACGTTGGGTTTGTCACCATCTGTTTATGTTCTCATCCACTTGCCTATGTAATTATGAAATGATGTCCACCACAAAAAGATGAATGATTACAGGCTACCCAGTTATATTGAATAATTATGATACTTGTCTGCTTTTTTGCATGCATTCCCAAACTGTCTTTGTTCCTAATAATTTGACAGCCTCTTGGTGTACGGTGCACCATCCAAATTGTCTTGTTTTGAGTTGTTGGTTGCACCTATACATCTCTCTCTCTCTCTCTCGGTCTGGACTTCTATGATGATTGTACCGAGTTTTTATCTTATAATGAAAAATCCAGTTTAATATTCTACATTATGACCCTTTTCTTGAAGTAAGAACCAAGGTTTTGTCAAAAGCAGACGCAATTCCATACTTCCAACTCGTGCAGAGATCAATGCCATTACGATGTTGATTTCAAGTCTTTGACTGGATTCAAATCTATGAATTCCGGAGGTTTACTTGTTCATTTTCACTTTTTCAGTCAGAGATTCTGATGATATCAAGTCCTTGGCTGAGTTAGAAAACCAGGTTGATGAAATGATGCCAAAACAACTAAATATTTTCCATTTTTCCTTTACACGAAACACAGATGATCGCGCAACCTCCATTACATCAATCATTATGCTTTAATGGCCTTGAGTCCTCGATATCCAAGGTGCATGCACTTAAATTGGATGTTAAGACAGGCGATTCCATATTCAGATAGATAGACATTGGGATGAGGATGCTCGTTATAGCTCATCAAATTGTAAACGATACCAGTAAAAAAAAAAAAGGTTGGAAACATTTCAAGCTGAAAACTCTACATATCTGAATTCTGAAGGGGCAATCGGGTCTGGGTCACACAACAGTTTGCAAGGTAAGGGTGGGTGCATAAATGGTAAGTTATTATTTGAAATCAGCTGGTGTTGTCTAATCAACAGGTGGAAGTTCTCTTGCTTTCCCGTCCATGAGTGCTGCAATGGTTGGAGCCTCTGACCTGAACAGGGGGTCGTGTTTCTTCCACCACTTGACAAAAGTGGTCTTCTCCAAGAACACGTCTCTTCTTATTTGCCCAATTTCTAGCCCTCTCAGGATTAATGCCTCCAATTCAGACACCATAAGCTTGACCTCTTCTAAAGGTTTGCTTTCGGTAGCCATGCAGAGCTCCTCTACCCTGGCCCAGAGGTAGGATTCAGAGTAGTATCCTGCTTCCTTCCGATTGGCATGCTCGAGCCATCTCTGGGTGTATCTGTAACGCTTTGGCCTAGCCCTTTTCATGTAGGGTCCAGTGTCTTCATTCTTCAAATGTCGGTAGTAGTTGGCTATGTCCAGAGGCTCCACAAGACGCCTGAACCTTGTCCCCAATTCCACCCATTCCTTCCTTGCCTCAAAGTTGTCGGGCAATTCGTATCTCTTCAACATCTCTACGATCTCATCCCACATCCCTGCTAAATCGAGTCTCTTCACATTGGCGTGAAAGTCTTCTGTGTCCTTCTGGAGTTTAAAGGCGTCGTAGTAGCCCAACTCGCGTACCTCACACTTGGCCCGGTATCCTTTGAGCATCTTAAGCCCTTCTTCAATCTTGCTGCGGTTGCCCTCGATCTTTGCTTGATTTCTCAGTTTTTGCTTCTCCAATTCTCCAGCAGCACAAAGGCAGAGCCTGGCTCTCGCGCTCTGGAATGCACAAACAAAGAGACGTGACATGGTTTCAGTTTCAACAAAGTTTACTGGTTATCTCGGATTGAACTTGTAAGTAAGCAGCAGGGGGAGCAGATAATTTACCAGCCCAAGATCGTTCAAGGCTATGTCAATTGATCTCATCAAATCACTGCCCGCACCTTCCGAGGATAGTGGAAGCTTTTCCAGATTGTCCAGATCAACCGCGTCTTGAATTGCTAGGCTCCCTTGCAATTCAGCCTCGTAAATCAGATGGCCTTCGAGACTTTTATAGGCAACCTCTGCGATGTTCTCTTCAAGTTCAGGGCTCAGCTGGAGAGAGTAGAACATTAGTTGCAGAACGGCATCTGGGTTCTTGAGGGCGACCAATTTCTTGTTCCCGGCACAGAATATATAGGTTCCACAAGGCCTGTAGGGGCTGAGGTCAACGAAGCTGGTGACGGTCTCCAACAATAAATTGGTGCACCCCATGAATGAGCAGGCGGAGTGACTTGCAACGGACAGTGCATTCGTCATTACGGTACCAAAGAACTCTGTAGCTTCCAGAGACTTGCCGAGGGGTTCGTAATGAAAGTATTTGGACTTCGGGTTGAAGAAATTAAGAATCGTCTGCAGTAGTCGTTGAATGGATGGAAGAGGGGCGAGTAATATCCGAGGAACGACGTCGTACCTATTGACGAAATGGACGAAGTGGCGGGACCAGTTCTCTCGCCGGAGAGCGTGTCCAAAAACCCGATCTCCGACAAGGGGAGATCCAAAAGTCAAGCATAGAGGAGGAGTTGGGTTGTGCTTTTCTTCTGGTCTGTAGTTTTCTAGTATCCAGATGGTCGCAAGGACGGCAACTGCGCCCCCTGATGAGTGCCCTGTAAAAACTATTTGCTTATTCTCAGCCACAGCTTTCTCTACCTGGAAATTTAGAGAGACTAGTCAAGCTTAAATCATATCAACTTGAATTTCTGAAAATTTCATTAATTTCTTGCCACTCAAAATGATCACTGAGAGCAACAAGTTATAAACTGGAACAGGAAGCAAGAGATCTAGAGCTGGGTAGTGGGTACCTCCTTGGGGAACTGAGTCGTTCTTAACACTGTCTCAAAACGACGGAGAAACGATCGGTTTACGATGGCTGTTTCATCGTTGCCGATGCTTCTAAGGGAAGGGAATAAAGTAAGGTCGACTTTAGAATCTCCAAAGGACTTTTGAGCAAACCAATCATCCACGGACCACGACCCAGAGAAGGCAAAGAAGACTTGAGACGAATAGGCTTGTCTTTCGAGTGTATAGGTCCGACCGGCCGTATGAGCATTAATGGCCAAGGAGCAGGCTCTCTGTATCAAATCCTCCCCCATAATCATCCCTGTAACGACACCCAGGTTTCTCCTCTCCGTCGTCATCTTCCCTCGCGGACGCGGTGGCTTCAGTATCACAGTCAGTATTGCAGTGTTGGGCACGCAGAGAGAGAAGTTTTATTTGACAAGCAGCTAATTACCGGAGCTGCCCCTTGTGCAGTTGTACATTTTTGATTTTAGAACAACAATAAGGGAATGGTGTTAATGGTCATTACGACCATTGACGCGTGTTTGACTTGATTCTGATGACGTGCTTCTGCTGAGTAGGCTACTTGTAGAATAATTGTTGAAAAGTCATCGGTCAACTCATGTGTCTTTAAATTTCCAAGATGTCATCAGTATTTGATGGTGTAGATCCAGAGGCCGGATTTGCTCACAACAAAAAAAATTGTGTGGATGCAGATACGTTGGTACACCTTTTGTTATGAGCAGATCCTACTCCTAGTCGCCTAGTCCTCTGGCCCACGAGGTTGTATCATGTGATGTATGGATCCTGGTCCGGACTTGAATTTGATGGTGTAGATCTCTCAAGCAAATTGATCAACAAGGGCTTCTCTGTTTTCTCACGCTATCCATCTCAATATCCTATTCAGAGAACAAACCACTTGAGCTTGTCACGGCTCTATCCCTTTATTCTACTGTTGGTCTCCCTCTCTGAGGATGTTCTCTATCTTCTTCTAGTGAAATTCCCTTCGGACCTCCATCTGAGTTTTCCCTGAGGTCTGAGAGGGTTTTTATAAAATGGGTCCTCTTGCTTTTGCTCTCTCTGTTTTCATAACCCAATGCAGTGCAGAAATCAACAAGTATTCATCATGAAAATGCATAAATTAGAAAGCATCCATGCAAAAGAAGTTTTGAGGATTTATCCCTACATGGCTACGTGTATTTGGGAGGATATTTTGTAGATGGGTCTCGGTTGTCATTGGTTGTAGAAGCTTGTGAGACCATGCAACGAAGATAGTTTTTTTTTGGTGGTTTTTTAGGAGATTAAAAATGTGGGTTTTGCTTGTTTTGGACAGTGATTTAAAGGCGTGCCTCACTTGTGAGGCACATTTTAGGGTAGTCAAATGCGCCTCGTCCATGTCCTAGGTGCAGCCCTTTCAAAAGGTGCACTACTTGTGCCTCTTGCACCTCAGCCCAGGCATGTGCCTTATGAAAATTTGACACATTTTTCCTTTTTTGAGTCTAGTGACTAGAGTGGAGCGAAGTAGAACTCCTTATTTTTGGTTATATTGTCTATTCATTCATCTTAATAAAATATTTTCTTAAAAAGCAATTAAAACTATAAAATTATTATTTTTTTTATGTGAAAACAAAAAATTTATGACCCTAACATAAACTTGTTTGAATTTGCCTAGAGAGGCGTAGCACAAAAGTGGCTCATAGAATTAAGAATGTAATATGCCACATTAGTTACTTGAAGTAATGCAATTGAGAAAAAAGAGATTGTGGGTTTTATATGCTTGAAAATGTTTTATATGTTTAATTTCATTTTTAAATTCTCATTTGAATATGCTTTACATATTATGTTTATGTATTTTAATTTTAGATAATAGGTTTTTTAAAATATTTATTTTAAAATTTAAGTTTATATTTTTATTAATATTATATTTTATATTTTTTTGACATTTTTTTTGATGTTTTAGTTTTTTTTTTTTTTAATTTTTGTGCCTTGCTTAAAAAGATACATGCTTCACCTTGCATCTTGCACCTCAGGCGCAAATTGACCCCTGGTTCTGGATATATAACGTCTAACATGGTTTCTTTGAAAGATAGAATGACAGAGTGTCAAAGTGTCTCCTTGTGACAAGTATGAAGAGAGAGAGAGTTTAAGAGAAACACAGAGGATCAAAGATTACAAAAGTGACGATTAAATACTGTTAAAAGCTTGGAAATGAAGGTGTCCAAGACTTCAAGAGGAACGTTAAGTTGCATAAGTGAACTAAGACAGGTTTCAAAGATTTCTCAGAATTATGTGTTCATGAACGGTAACTAATGAAGGAAGATTTGGCCCAACCTCGCAATCACTCCACGTGGCAAAAGCAAATAGCTCGGCACTTAAAACAGCGTACCTAGGGCGCAAGCACCAAAGGGAAGAAACCAGCAGTCCGAATTCCCTTCGAGGAGCCCGAACTCCCTACGAGGAGCCCGACCTCCCTACGAGGAGCCTAAACTCCCTACTAAGAGCTCGAACTCCCTACGAGGAGCCCCACCTCCCTACGAGGAGCCCGAACTCTTGGGCCCTGAGCCACACAAGGCAGTGACCCGAACTGGCCCGCCTCATGGCAGTTCGGGACACTCCCCTATCCGAACTCAAGACTTCACCTCGTTCGCCACTCCAGCACTTCGCCTCCGAGACGTCGAACTGAACAAACGTACCATACCTGACACCGAGGAAGTCCGTATCCAAGGGGCGGTGCATCTGACTGACTTGGGATCTGACGCTTGACAGCCGCACTTCAATGGTCACCTACCACCGCCACCTGCCACCGTCAACATCAGTTGCGGAGACGGCTCCGACAAAAGGGAGTAGTGGCGGTTCTGACCAGCAGAGGGGATGACACCCGAACTGGCAAGAGACCAGAGGTAATCATACCCGACCTGACAGAAGCTTAGGAGTGAGTGCACGAGGTGGTTATAAAAGGTCCCCTACCCCCAGCAACAAGGTATGCAAACTTTGCGCTATCTGGTTTTATCTTGCCTTTGAAGGATTCTAACTTGAGCTTCGGAGCCTYYACAYYGGGTTYCCCCCGGAGCTTCCTCATCTTCTCCATTTCAGGTTCCCCGCAATTC